GAGACAAGGAAGCGCCGGGCCGTGGGGGACTGAGGCGCTGCAGGCGACGACGCTCTATATATACCGCCAGCAGCTGTCCTGATGCGCGTCTCAGCGGGCCCCAGGTGAAGCATCACGTTTGGGTCTGCACGTTTCAACGCACCCTTAACCGGCGGCCGTTTCTAAATCACGACAACAAGCTGCAGTGCCTCGGGAGCGCGGCGCAAGGGCTCTCGGTTCATGACAGTGGCATGCAGCTACGCGTCTGGAGATTATATTGATCCACCGCGTTGGGCCAGGAAGCTTGTCATGTCCAACATGCAGCAGTAGCCAGCAACAATACGATAGCGAGTAGTAGATGTACTCGACCCTCGCAATGCCATCGCTGAAACCCCAAGGCGTGAATTTCACATCTTTCCCCAGCTGTCACATTCTGTCAGTGAAACGGACATGTTGGGGGGCACAAGAGCACCAGAGCACCAGGGTGTGCACGCAGCGCCGTCGCAGCTTGGCGGCAGTCCCACCAAACTCGGGCACAGACGAATCCTGTGAACTTTATGAAAGGCGCAACACGGTGCGTTTGCCCAAGACGCGACTCAGGCGTCCTTGAAGCTCCAGTCTCATCTTACTCTCCCGACGGGTGACAGTGACGGGTGCAATTACGTCAGCGTGCAATGGGTGCTGCGTGCCTCGACAAAGAAACCATCGGCCGATTGTTCAGATGTCGATTCCCCAGGTACGCTAGCACTGCAGCGCGGTGAAAGCTGCTGCAGGGATGAGCGACGTCACGTGAGTCGGAGCTTGCGTTAGTCTCCGACTAGACTAGATCTCTTTGAAGGTCGCGTTCTCACCAACCACCTTTTCAACAAAAGCTCCCCAACCGCAACCACGACCCCGGCGCCAGAATGCCCGCCAGATCGGGCACGTCATCCTCGAGCATGCATACTGCAACTTCCTTCAGCTCCAGTTTCGCCGACGCCTCCCCGTCACGCCAATCGCCGAACCGCAGAAGCATACACCGCTCTCAGCGCGAGTCCCTTGTCCGCGACCCCTATGACAGCCCGAGCAAGCAACTAGCCCTCGAGTTCAACCTCCGCCTCAGCATATCAGACCGAGAGTTTAACGAGAAGCTCGACAAAGCCGCCGAGGAACGAGCCAAGCACCATGCACAACAACTTGCCTGGGCTGCCGAGGAACACGAGCGCGTGTTTAGGAGCGCGAAGCTCGAGATTGAGCGCATAGCCTTGGAAGAAGAGCAGGCGCGTCTACGCCATGAAGAAAGCCAAAAGAGGGAGATTGAGCGCTTGAAGCAGGAGAAGGCCCGCGAGCAAGCCGAGGCTCAGCGAAGGGCCTTGGAAGCCAAACAACGCGAGGAAGAAGCCGCCCGTCAAGAAGCAGCAGACAGGAAGAGAATTGAAGAGGCTAATGCCCGAATCAAAGCTCAGCAGGACCAACAAGCCGCAGCTGAGAGGCAGAAGAAAGAAAAGGAGGACGCTGACCGGAAGGCTGCCGAGGCTGCGGCCACTGCGGCTGCTGCACAGAAGGCTCAACAGCAAGCACCACCACCAACACAACAGCAGCAGCCCGCTGCACAACCTACACCCGCCGTCGCACCCACACAGGTGGCAGCAGCACCGAAGCCATCCACGAACGCACAAGCACCCACCAATAACGCCGAACAGATTCACGCCAAGTACCTCGAACTCCATCAGCGCATGAAGGCCTTCCGCAATGCTTTCTGGGAGGAACACAAGAAACCGACTTCGCCCTTGAAGGGCCCGGTTGGCGACGCTCGGCGCGCTCTCCGTACTCGACTTGGTCAGATCAACGTGGAGCGAAAGGATAGCGCCGCCGCCATCAAGCGCCTTCGAACCGAATGCTTCGACATCGCTCTACAAACTCCAGGTCCTATGATTGACATCCGACCATACATCGTTTCACACCAAATCCCCCAGCTAGCCAACGACAACGAAGCTGCTTACCCGGCGTTCCTTCTCTACGTTTGGATCTGTTTTGAGAAGTTCCTGGTAAAGCAGTTTGAGAAGGAGGCTGCCAACACTGACGGACGCATCATCCAAGAGATTGGCTTGATTGCAGCCAGTTTGTTCGGTGACCAGAAGTACCAGTGGCAGGGTCTTCCCCTTATTGACATTGCACTGGCTAAGCTCCACAAGGCGTGCCCCCCACTGTTTGGCATCCGAGGTACTATGGGCACCAAGGAAGGTCGGCTGCGCCTAGGCTGGCAGGAGGACTCAACTCCGGAGTCGTACTCACAGCGCATGCGCGGCATTGGAGCGGGCTTTGCTTCAATGTCTCTTCGCTCATTCGCCGCCAAGGCGCCTGCGATTGCCATCTCGGAATACTGGCGCGCCATCTCCTCGATATGCAACACACCCACCGAGCAACTTTGGCCTGGACACTTTGCCATTCTCAGCGGCCTGATCCGCGACTACCACAAGAAATTTATCCAGTTCTACGGCGTACCTGCGCGTGGCGTACTTCGTCGCGCTATCATTGACCTTCCGGCTCGTGCACCGGAGCGCTGTAAGGACGCTGCCAGTACTATTGCCGTGTACCGCGAGACCTGGAAGAGGGAGAATTTCTCTTTGGATTAAAAAAAATGTGAATGAAGATGGGTGGAATGGCATTGGGTCCCTCAGGAATCTGTTTCCTTGTTTCTCAAAATCTTGTGTCAATCTTGCATGGAACGGCGCTTATGATCATCAGTACGACCCATGGTCGTTTCCTTTTCTCGTGTTGCTTTGATAGATGAAGCCGAATTACTTGCGTAAGGCCATAGTGTCACTTGCGATAGTAGAATATTATTGCTTTCACGCACTGAACCATAAGAGTGACATGCTGTGAGCTTGTTTGAACATGCAGGAGACGAGGTATAAAGGTAGACACACCAAAGTTGTCAAGCACATACGAGAAGTAGTTCAGGGTATCTCTGGGAAGAACATCCGTTCAGAGGACTGCAACCTAAATGGACAATTGAACCCGCCATTGAGCACGTCAAAACTCTTATACAGCACGAGTTAAGGATCGAGGATCCGGAGCTATGCATTGTCAAATACCTAGCACAAAGCGCCTTTCAAGACCATGAGTGAGGTCACTACTATCGAGTACATTCGCCATCACACCGACATTCCAGGACCTGAAGTCATTCGTCACCAGGCTACTGATGCTAACAAGCTCGAATTTGAGGGGATGATGTCACGCGTGCCTGGTCGCAAGCTACGTGATCAATGGAGCAGCACTAGCTGACTGAAAAAGGAACTGCTGGTGCGTAAGATAGTTTCCTATCATGTGCAGTTGTTCCGAAAACGATTCAAGCGAATAGGTAGTCTGTACTCTACAGAGAAACTCGGGAGTTGTCCACCTCCGAGTACGAAAAGACACAGCTCTGGCAGTTCTTCCTGACAGAGATGCGACGTGCCATCCTAAACGGATCAAGGTCCACAGTTTCAATCAAGTGAAAGTTGGCTTTGGACAAGTTGTACAGCAGTTTGATTGTGGTCGCTCCAGTGAACAAATTGATCGATGGATACCTAGGTAGAGAACGTGAAAAGATAACAGAAATTCACCCATCCTACAAGAGGTCGTTCGCAACAGGTAAACTGCAATTGACAACTATAGTGGTGAGGGGCCTTTGGAGTACTGATTTCATGAAGTATCGACATGCCCGATGTTTACGATAAGACGGGTAGATCAAGCCTTTAAGAATACGTGAGTTGGCTTAATGCCGTCCCATTCTCTTTGAGGGTGGTACTCATGCGTGCCGGCAACGAAGTCAGCCTTGGGTCAATCCAGGTTTTCCACATACTCTTCATGAACAGTCTCGTGCAGAAAAACAGGCGAGATTTGGCCGTAAAGGCGTGACATCTAGAAGTGATCCCAAAATAGCACATAGCACCTAAGCGAGACGCTAGTTGGGGGCCAACATCGTCCCGCTGTTAGGCCAGCAGTGGCCAGCCGTCCTCAACACCACTCTCGTTGGTTGGTGGTGAGCTTTCACTCACCAGCCAACACACGCATAAGATTAGGATCTTGCTCCACTACGCCGCATGGTCGCCGCAGAGGCGCCGCAATACTTTATGATGGCGTCCAGTAACCAGCACCTGCCATCCGATATCTTTACAACAACGCACCGCAGCGGAAGCTAGCACTTCGCATCATGGCTTTCCTTTACCACGACCAGTTCGCCTATTCTCACCCCACAATTTGCCCCAAGTCGCCGTCCAATCCTACTTGAGCTTGGCTCAGGCAGACACGTAGAGAATTGTAAGGCGCTCAGCCTTGTGTCGATTCGTGACTGTAGCTGCTCATTTCTTTTAGCGCAGGTGGCTGTGCTTGCCTAAATTCCGAAACGTTGATCCTACAGCACGATCCTTTGGCACATCACCGTGTCTTCACAGTTTCTCGTGCTAGGCTGGTGATTTCAAGTTGATACTGTGTAGTGGAGAGTTGGAGAGGGGAGCCGTCCGCGAGAGCAGCCACCCAATGTCTGCTGTTCCACGAGCTGAACGTATAGCTTCAGCTGCGTGACGAAAAGGGCACCACTGTCCAGATGTGGCTCACACGCGGTAGAGAACTCTTCTCGACTGAAATGGCAACGAATGGGCTCCGATATGCATGCCTGGCACCATCTTCTACGAGCCTGTGCCACCACCGTGTGCTACACAGCTCTTTCCTACTTCTCCGTTAGACGCGGTAGTCCAAGCTTTGACAACAGTTTTCTACGCTCGCAACTCGTCAGGCGTCTCTTTTTTTGCCAAGCTGACAGGGGCGCAGTGACTCTCTCCGAGTTGTTGGCCTATTTCCCCACAACGTGTTGAGGCTGAGCATCTCTTTCCACTTACGAGCCGCATATTGGGCGCCTTCTCACCGATCCAGTGCCATGGATGCAGGTTCAGAACATGTCCATGCGTAGTAGGTTTCATTTTACGCAGACATATGTCTGCCTGGTCCCCGGTATCAGTTCACAGTACAGAAGGGATTCCTTAATCAAGTCCATATCAACACTCTTGTAACGTTAGAGCAACACATTGCTGAGGCGTAGCAACTGTCTTATCCTTGTCACACCGCCACTCAACCTCCTATCACCAGCATTACAAGTACCTGGATAGCTTCATCTACAATCTGAAGTCTCACCAACCGAATCTATATCAGAGACCCTCTGGCTTACACCAATATACATCATCATGGCTCCTATACCGGTGGACAACAATCTCGTCGCAGAGACAGACCAGAACCCAAAGCCTGATTCAGGATATTGGACGAAAGCCAACATCGCCCTCACCGCCGTCTTCGCTCTTATCTTCCTAGCCATCTGCCTTGCATCACTTGTCTTTTGGCTCCACCGAAGGAACGAAAAGAAGAAGCTCGACAACCGCAAATCAGATACAGCAGGGCTCTTGGCGAACGAGGACAAGACAAGCATGTTCAGTCGTGTCCGAGCGAGCAGCGTTACACTATACGTCGACTCGGAAACAGAAGCGCGCAACAAGAGGTCAAGCACAGAGACTATGAACCTCGTACCGCTACAAGTCACGCCAGCGGAGGAGGTCAGAGACCCGATCGGTGACAACACGGAGAGCTCTGGTACGGGTGTAAGTTCTGTTAGCCGACAAAGCAACGCAACCCTCAGTACTATGGTGCTCAGCCCGATGCTGAGTCCCGTGCTGAGTCCGACATCATCGAGTGGCGATGGGGGCGATTTGGGTGTACGTCCATCAGGACGCGCACGCAGCACAAGCACGGCAAGCCAACGGGCACGGTACTACGAGTCGACGCCTACAAATATCGCGATGCCGCCAATTCCGAAGATCGTTCACACATTGTCAGATTAGAGACATAGTTGGTTATGAGCAAAAGCTATCAGGCTATGGGTTTCAGACGAGCTGATGGTTCCGCTTTTTTCTTCTTCTTTTTATTTGAATTCCAGTTTCTCACCATCCCGTGATACTTCTTATAAGCATCACTATATACCCCATTCGCGCTCCTGCAATTGTCATACCGCGCAGTCGAGCTTACAACAACCTTGGTCTCAACTCTTGCGAAAAGCCAATATACTTCAATTAGACAAGTTCAAAGATCCCGCCCCTTTGCCCAGTCCATTGTCCACTTCCGTACTATGCAAGACTTCTAAGCAGCAGTCGATTCGCTGAGTGTGATGGGTCTGGCTTACACTGCTTCCGCCCCCAGACTTTTTTCCCAGCTGCCTGGTATCCGCTGAATGTGTTGGCTCCTCGGCTCACTCGGAGTGAGCACTAGCGATGTGCATCGATCTCCAGCCCCAATAGAAGCTTACGGTCTCAATTATCGAACGAGACGCATGAGATTCAATGACATCACACGCGATGGGCCTATGCTGGTTGTAACATTAAGTTGTTGCTGTTAGTTGCGTTCTGGAGCACTAAAGCTCTGGTCGTGAAAGTGGAAAACAGCGAATAATTTCTGCGTCTACAATGAACCATCCTTCTTCCGATTTGCATTCCAAGCTGACGCAAATCCAACCACTCTCGATCGCCCTCTCTTCACATGAAGCAAAGGCAGCAGCTATCTTCCAGGTAAGATCCCACCACTCGCTCCACAACCTAAACGCAGAATCGCGGTCCGGTTCGCCAAGGATCACTGTGGCACAGAGACCTCTTGCATGGCCCGACCGTGCCGTACGCACGACTACAATCTCGGTTTATGTAGGATCGCCACAAGGGATGTGTTGACTATAACGAGAATGTATGACATGAAGCAAGAAGAGGATGCGCAGCCACATATTAGATCACAGTGGCGAAGAAGATCGGGAAGCTGAGATGCGTGTATGTAACAAACGAATGAACATGGGGCCTCTGTAATATTGAGGGTCACAGAAGCCAATGTACATGCTACCGTCCTCATCCTATCGCTAACAATGCCATGCGAAACAATGCGCAAACTCGCTCAAAAGTTTATCAGACAAATGCTCCTTATATCAAGATCACTCAAAGCGACGTCTGTACGCAGTGGTGAAACTCCGATCTCAGTACCTGAACGCCTGTCGCTCTGACCCGTCATCAGCCGTAAGAGATACCAAACATGCAACTACTATTTCTTCCCAGCATTAACAACCTCCTCACTCAGTTCCCACTCCGGATCCCAATGGACATACTGCGCCATCGCTACAGAAAGCAGCCACTCCGTCTTGACAATACGGGGAACCATGTTCTCCCTCTTAGCCAATTCACGGAACTTGGTCCAGTTGGTAAACTCCTTCTTATCTGCGTCGGAAATAAGATATAGTACGTCTCCTTCATCTTCGACTTGGTTCTGGCTAACTTCATCGGAGGCGTTTAGTTTGCGCTTTGATGCGGATACCGTAGTAGGGCGACCCTTCCATAGCACACACTTGCCGCCATTGACTTCCACAATGTCTTTGTATGTTTCGAAGCCGCCGCCAACCTTCTCTGTACAGAATATGGTCCAGTCCTTGAGTAGGCGGTGTTTATTCTGCTTGGCTCGCTCGAGTGCTTCGGATAGTCGGAAGTTGTTGGCCTCTTCAAAGTCTCTAGCTTGGAGGAGGTGTTTCTCTGCCGGTGGAAGCTTGTTGTTCTTGAGGGCGAAGTCGAGGTAAGTGGTTGACACGAGGGTAGGCGCGCAGGCTAGTGCTGCGATGAACTTCTTCGTCCGAACGGGTTGTGGCGCGCAAACCATATCCACCTTCTTGAAGTCATCTGTGATGAAGAGGCCGAGCTCTCGAAGGCGCGCTTTATCTTTTGATTCCTTTTCAGGATTGTTGGCCCATCGTTCATCTTTTGAGATAAGCATACGGAACTTGATGGGCGCAAGCTTGTCCTTCTTTGCTCGTTTGTTCTTTGCTGGAACCTCTGTAGCTTCGTCTTCGGTCTCTTCGTCATCGTCGACTTCATCGATAGAACGCTTGCTTGAGACTGAATCACGGCCGCCCTTCGGTTGCTTCGTCCCTTCGTCAACCTGGTCTTCTGTGCGTCTGCGTCCGCCATGTATGACGCCGCCTTTGCGCTTCATCTCCTTTTCGAATTGTGCAATATCTGGTGCGGCATTGTGCAGTTTTGACAATGCGCGGTCTTTTGCTCCTCGACTCCCTGGTGTCTGGTTCTCCTTTCCATCAGTATGTCGCGGTGGCAATGGCGTTTGCGCATTGCTTCCTGACTTCGCACGCTTGGCCTTCTCAGCCACAGGTGGGCTACGGGGTGCTGGAGGTTCGCTTGCCCTGGGCGCTACACTCGAAGCTGGGACGGCGTTAGTCTGCGGTGCTGCCTTGACGGCTTTGGCTGGTTTTGCTTGTTTTGAGTAGAAGATCTTTTCGGTAGCCTCGCGATCGATCTCAGTCTGTCCCAAGACTTCTCCCAGGTTGGTCCGATCTGGGAAGTACGTATAGCGACTCTCAGTTAGAGGCATCTCTCTGCATTTGGCATAGCTTTCTTCTAGCCACAAGTGATTGACAATGTTCACGCCCCACTCTGTCGCAGCCTCGCACTTTTCGCTGTTCTTGTGCGCAGCGACAAGATGTGTGTTGTCCTGCTTGAATGTCTTGGTGAACTCAGCACCTGTAGCTTTGATCAAATTCTCCAGGTACACCCGCGCTTCACCAGTGTAACTTGATATGCTGATCTTGTAGTTCTCGAATCCGGGGATGCCTTGTCGTGGCCGTGGGTAATGCATCATACGCTGCATAGGATTCGTCCAGATTCCGTGCGTAATAAGATAATACAACCACCCCAGATTGCCCACGTCTTTCTGTGCTTGTGAAGCCTTGATATAGTCGGAGCCTTCTCGGTAGTTGCAAACATACATGTCTGCTTCATCGACCTTTGAGGTCACACTGCCGCCTCCAGCCTTGATCATGCCGGTGATGATACCCTTGAGTCGGCTGCTTATGTTCAAATCGTCGCCGAGCTTTACACTCTTTCCGTCAAAAGCCTTGATTGCACGGGGTGCTTCTAGGTGAGCAGGTGGTGGCACGGGGTCGTGGTGAGGATCTGGTGTGGTTGCATCTCGAATCTGCTGGCTCACTCGTGTTGGAGGAATCGAGCCTGGTTCCGCATCGGCGAGAATCTCGGGGTTGGGGAGCGTGTAAGGTCGCTCTGATATACGGCGGCCAACTCTGAGGCAGTCATCGAACCTGCGAGTGTTAGATGGAGTCAAGTACCACGCGCTCGACCCCGAACTTACCAGTGTGGTAGCACAATGGACAGCTGCAGCCGCTTACTGATGGCGAGCTGGCATCGCGGCTCACTCACATCGAGTGCAATGAGATGTGTCACAAACTTGGAGAGGCTTGGTGCGATTTGCCCACCCAGTGCCAGTACACCGCCCTCAATCGCTTCCTTGTCTCCGCTCGGTATGTCCCCGCAACATATGACCACATCGTTCATGATGAATGCAGGATCGGGACTGTATGTTCGCGGGTTCTTGGCTTTGTTGGACTGGAGCGACGCGCCTATCCATGTTGGCTTGACGACATGTATCATGAGATCGAGGGCGCGGTAGTAGTCGGGGAAGTCGGCTGTCTCGGAGACAATGTAGCTGATTTCCTCTAGGTTCTCTATACGGCCTTTGGGTGCGCTGAAGGGTACGACGGTTCCGTGAGCAGATTTGATATCGTCTTCGATCTGTTTGACTCGTTAGTACCACTTCTCGATTGACCAAACGCGTCGCGTACCTGGCGCATTCGTTCTTCTGAGAGACCATTGGGAATGAGGGTGAAGGTGAGCTCCTCGAACAGACCCTGTGAGCCCTCTAGCATGGTAGTGTCTTCCATGGTCGCGGTCGGGGATGTTGTGCTGTATGGTGTAGAGATTTGGTGGCCGCCAACACTGATCTCGAAGGCGCGATGCGACGTGGGTCAACGCGAACTTTGGAAGGCACGAACGCGTCAAAGTCCACGTGACACCCCACCAAAACACTCCGACGCTGATTTCGTCATAACGTCGCAGCTCAGGCCCGACTACTCTCTTTCTGATGTACGATATGTGCCATGAGAGACGCGTAACTTGGCCTCGCTACACAAAGCATATCTAAAGCGCATCCGTACCGCAGTCGTTTGTCTGTATGTGGGGAGAAGAGAAGCCGTGGTGGACCTCGGCATTCTTCCCCAGATTACGCCGGCTACTGATCACGACACACCCGTAAGCATAGACATCTCCTTGCTATCTAGGCGTATCATCCTCTCATCTCAACTTTCTGCACACAACAGGTACCGTGACTTAAACGTGCTCGTCACTCGCATTGTCTTCTCGACTCTACACGTTTAGCCTGATTGCATCTACGCGCGACAAGAACATGTCTTCGAAGCACTTTCGCATAAAGGAGCATAAAGTAGAGGCATCGCACATCCGTGGCTGGCCGCGCTCCACAGCTACGAAGCAGGAAGAAGTCCTTCATCTAGCCGTCAAGCAGTACACACCCCTCAGCAACACCAGCCCCAAACCCGGAGACATTACTATCATCGCAGCGCATGCAAATGGATTTCCAAAAGAACTCTATGAACCACTATGGGATGAGCTCCTAAAGAAGAGCCAGCAACATGGCTTCGGCATCAGAGGTATATGGATAGCCGATGTTGTGCATCAAGGCTGGAGCAGCGTTTTGAACGAAGATAAGTTAGGCAACGACCGTACGTACATCTTTTCAAGTACAAGGTTACACACTGACATTCCATAGCGGCCTGGCTTGACCACAGCAGAGATCTCCTGCACATGGTGAATCTTTTCCGCGATGAAATGCCTCGCCCCATAATCGGTGTTGGCCATAGCATGGGTGGTTGCCAACTTGCCAATCTCGCCCTCTTGCATCCCCGTCTCTTCGAAACCCTGATCCTCGTCGACCCTGTCATCCAAGGCCAGGTTTCACTGAACGGCAATGTTGGGCCAGCTGCTGCATCATCAAGACGACGTGAGCTCTGGCCATCACGAGAAGAAGCCGCGAAGAGTTTCAGCAAGAGCAAGTTTTACCAGGCGTGGGACCCGCGGGTGTTAGACCTATGGGTGCAGTATGGATTAAGAGATGTACCAACAAAATTGTTCCCTGATGCAAAGAAGCCCGAGGTCACCCTGACCACCACGAAGCATCAGGAGGTCATGACATTCCTACGACCGAACTTGGCTGCCAGACCTGGGGATAAAGAACCTTCCTCTGCAGAGTTCACATTGACCAATCCGAAGCTTAACAGGAGGACGCATGCAGACATGACACCCACCGCCAACCTTCAGTCACCGTTTTACCGAGGCGAATCCACCATTGTCTTCAACCAACTACCCTCAATCCGGCCATCGGTATTCTACATCTTTGGCGAACTTTCATTCCTGACTGACGACAAAGCCATTGAGGATAAGATGCGCTTGACCGGCTCTGGTGTAAATGGTAGCGGCGGACGCGCAGAAGGACGGGTAGCAAATGTCATGGTGAAAGGTGCAGGGCATCTGATACCCATGGAGAAAGTAGAAGAGAGTGCGGATCATATCAGCAAGTGGGTCAGTCAAGAGATGAAGAGATACTGGGATTGGGAACGCCTAACGGAGGAGGAATGGGAAGGAAAGCAAGGAGTAGAGAGAACAGTGTTGCCTGAGCGCTTTGTGCAAGAGTTGGATAGGTTGTTCAAGCCAAAGGAGAGGAAGTCGAAGCTCTGAAACCCAATCCATCGGAGATACGATAGAGTCCCAGGATACTCTCGGGGGCGTTCCGTTCGAACCATAGACACATTGATATCATAATTGAATACCGACTGCATGCCACTAATGTACTTGCCTTAGCCCCTATGTCTTCAGTCCTGCTTGGTCTCTCCCCTCTCTGGATAGTATCCTCCTGCAAATTCCAGACTCGCGCCCTCCCATTTCTCTGTCTTGACCTCCTTCCACGCACTCCACGGCCACCACCCTTCCTTCTCCCAAATTTTCGCTTCGATCGTCGCAATAAAACTTTCCTTGCAGAAGTTTGCCCGATGGCCATCTGGAAATGGGCTCGCTAGGCCGAACCAGCCCGGCTCCTTTGGCGCTTGGGCTTTGAGCTCCAGTTTGTGAAAGTAGTTCGATACAGATATAGAGAAAGAGCGTGTATCCCAGTCGTTTGTGGCGCTCATGAAGGGGCTAACAAGGTTCAGGTAAGACACCGAGAAGGGTGGTACGAAATCGAGGTTGAGAGATGGGGATCGATAACCAAGCATATACGCAGTATTGTACATGATCTTGCCGCCAGCCAGACAAATACCGCGTTTCTGATCGTTGTCCCAGGCTTGCACCCACATATGTGCATCGGGAAAACTGTTGGCCCAGTTCTTCTCTTGATGGATCGTAGCGCGGCTTTTCCTATCTTGAGTTGGGAAATCCTCGCCAAGAGCGGGTATATCGAGGGTGAACGTAGCCGGAGAGCAAAGAGAATGTACGTGCCAATGTAGCGGAAATGGGAGGTTGATCATCCATCCTTCTGGCGTGCTCTTGTCCTCTCTCCACGCGGTGTACTCCTCACATTGTGCTTCAAGCTTCCAACTCCCGTCCTCGCCCTCCAGCTTGTAGCTTGTGCGTCCGTCACCCTCGGTCCTCATGAATCCTATGCCTGGTACCCGGAGCTCGAACGCTTTGCTCTTCTCATCAGTTGTCACGCGCTCAATGTTATCAACAAAATGTTCGCGCTGGAATATTGGGTGACCAGAGGAAGGGTAGTAGGTAAATGAAACCATGTGCGGGCGTGAGGACGCATCAGGCACGGAGCATATGATAAGAGCAATATGCGCGCCAGATGCGAGGTCGAATTTGGAGTAGTAGCCTTCGAATTGCGATGATGGGTGAGGGGCATAGTGCTCCATGGTTGTTTGCTGGTACGAGAAACAGAAAGATCTTACGAATGTTGTGTTGTGGGGGTTTGATGTTGGACGTGAGTCGCGATGTTGTTAGGTTGGTAACTCATGACGTAGGCAAATATTCGATTTGGCGACTTTGGATCTACCGCGTGGTACCAAACAGTTCATGTTGCGTAATGACGTTCAAAGGACCAAAAATCAAATGCTATTATGTAGCATATTGCCGTACAGGATGCCCCATATGTCAGCAATCAGACCCAGCGCCATTCGACTACGATGGTTGTGCAACCTCTCCCATCAGCGGAGGATGGCCACAATGCTACTATAGATTTGTTTTCAAGCGAACTAATTACTGACTTGCTTCACTAAATATAATTACAGATTACAGCTGGTTCTAGGGCTTCAGGGGCCTATACAATAGTCGCCTGGACCATGTATGGTCTCAGTCGTCGTACTACTTGCATGAGGTTTCCTGTCTGGGCTTCATGTACTACACAAGCAGAATGGTGGTTTCAAGCACGTCCACCGAACCTCTTGACCTGAGATGCGCATCGCAAATTTCATGGCTGCTGTGTCTATGAATGTTAGTCTATACGAGGCTAAGGCACACTACGAAAAATATATACCTCGTGAACGCTTGCACCGTATTCAGCAAAGACTTCAGAACGATACTGAATCATATGTATCTGAACATGTTGTTCTTCACGCTTCTCTTCATGGACGCTGGCTTCCCATCTTCGTATTCGATGCCAGCTTCTCCTCCCTCACTGTCGTGCCCGGCCAGCTTTGCCATCACTTCCGCGTCGAGCTCAGCTTGCGTTTTCTTTTTAGGCTTTATCTCTTCTGGAGACTTGGCATCGGCCTTTTGAGCATTGTCTTTGACCGGGTTTGGGGTTTGGGACTTTGCATCTGAGTAGTTTCTGGTGTAGATAACTGGTGGCACTATTTGCCGACTGGTTGCTTTTGAGGGCGGCGTGATGAGGAAACGAATAGGAACTCGCCCTGTGGTTTGCCGTAGAGATAACATGATAGAAGGAATCTGGTCAGGAGGGTGTGTAGTGAAATCGTGGCAACAGGAATTCAGGAAGATTGAAACAGTGAATTTACGTCACTGTGACCGCGGTCGCCTCACTCACGTGAAAGCTGAGTGCCTGAACCGTGACTGGGTAGATGAACCATGAGTGCACAACGTCTGACATGATAGTTTGCTATTCCTGGGCAGTACAAGTTCTCGCGGACACGCGACTTCTCGTCCTGTCGACACGTAAACTTACTTCGCTTTGCTCATTCCGCGCGGTGCTTGACGTTGCCAAGGCGCTAGTGCATGCAGCCCATTTTCAGTTTCGCGACTGAGGATACCATCACTCCACGACACGCGCGCCAACCCACCATAACCCCCGGAAGTCATCCACAATGGTCGTCACATCTTCCTGGTCCAACGTCGAGGACGAGGTGCTGAAGGCTGCCATCAGCAAGTATGGGCTGAATCAGTGGTCGCGATGCGCCTCGCTGCTGTCCAAGAAGAGCGCGAAACAATGCAAATCTCGCTGGACAAACTGGATCGACCCCGCCATCCGGAAGACAGACTGGTCGCGAGAGGAGGATGAAAAGCTTCTGACCATGGCAAAACTGCTCCCTACCCAGTGGAGAACTATTGCGCCCATTGTTGGACGAACGGTACGTAGCCGCAACTGTCCCCTTTATTTGAAATACCCATCTAACGTCACCTAGGCGACCCAATGTCTCGAGCGCTACCAAAAGCTGTTGGACGAACAAGAGTCGAGGGAATCTGGTGATCTTGGACTGGCAGGCCCGGAGGGCGGAGATTCAGCCGCTCCTTCAGCAGAGGATGTACGGCGCCTTCGTCCCGGAGAGGTCGACGCATACGCCGAGAGCCGTCCCGCAAGACCCGATGCGGTTGACATCGATGAGGAAGACAAGGAGATGTTGTCAGAGGCGCGTGCGCGTTTGGCAAACGTCAGTGGTAAGAAGGCCAAGCGGAAGGCTCGCGAGCGGCAACTGGAGGAATCAAGAAGGCTTGCCCTGCTTCAGAAGCGACGAGAACTGAAAGCGGCTGGTATCAACATCAAGATCACCCCGAAGAAAGGCAATCACATCGACTACAACGCCGACGTACCGCTCGAGAAGGAAGTTCCCGCTGGTTTCTTCGATACCACCGAGGAAATAGACCGCAACGAACAACAACGAGAGGCCTTCGATCCGCGAAAGCAACAACTTGCAAACAAGAGAAAGATGGAGTCACAGGAGGACGGGGGAGGTGACAGGAAGAAGAAGAAAGACGAGAAGTCAGGAGGTCTTGCTGCATCATATGCGAAGGCCGCACAGGCACAGAGAATACGGGAAGCAGAGCAGAGCAGCAAGCGCCGCGCTCTTGTGCTTCCAACTCCACAGGTCGGAGAAGCTGAGCTGGAAGATATCGTCAAGATGGGAACGACAGGACAACGCGCAATCTCTGCAGGCAGTAGCGATAACATGGCGACTCAGGGTCTGATTGGAAATTATTCGAATGTGATCGGCAACACTCCCATTCGTACACCCATGGCACCCAAGGAGGAGGACTACGTCGCGAATGAAGTACGAAACGCTCGAATGCGAACAGAAACGCAGTCCGCTCTACTAGGTGGCGATAACCCGGATCTTGTCGACGATGAGGCGCCTGCTTCGTTGTCCGGACCTGCTTCACGACACCAGATTGTGACGCCAAATCCCATGGCAACACCATTCAGACAAGCCAATGGCGCAGTCGGAGATACACCTATGCGACAGATACCAGGAGCGACGCCCATGCGGACTCCTCGTGACACCCTACGCCTGAATGGCGAAGAGAGTGGCATGCAACTGGTTGGACAGACACCTCGCGACATCAAACTAAGGGAGCAGGCAAAGCGTCAAGATCTTAAGAGCAGACTTGCTGCATTGCCGAAGCCAAAAGAAGAGAGCTGGGAGTTTGAGCTTCCTGAAGAGCAAGCAGATCAAATGGAAGTTGAAGTCAGCGAAGAAGACGCTGCTGAACGGGACCGAAAAGCTCGGGAGGCGCGCGAAGCCCAAGAAGCTGCAGAGTTTGGCAGGCAAACGCAAGTCGTGCAGAAGTTCCTCCCAAGGCCATCAGTAGTCGACATCGACGTGCTAATGAAACGCGCGCTGGACCTCTCCGACCCCGTCGAACGCGAGATCGAGATCGAAATGGCCAAGCTCATTGCCAACGACGTCCAGAAGTTTGGAGATGGCCGGGTTACCGGTACAGCACAACGAGTTGAATCCATGACGGACGATGCTTTACGGAATGCTAAGATGGAGCTTGCTCTTGAGCTTGCGATGACCACCGACAAAGACAAGAAGGCCTTCCACGCAGACCTCAATACATCGTGGACCACGCTTCACGGTTCGAAAATTCTGCCTGGCATTGCGGGCTACGAGGAAGACGAAATCGACGAGCACCAACTTCTTGTCGAGGCTTTTGACAATGCGCAAGAGTCCATCATCGAAGCAGCAGAACGTGCGAACAAGATCGAGAAGCGCTTAACTACACACCACGCAGGATATGTCAAACGGTCAAATCTATTACGTGAGAAGATCAGTGGCGCATTTTCAGCACTTGAGAGAGCTAGAGATGATTTGAACACAGCGAGGACGGCACAATACAGTGAGCAAACTGCGATTGCACGTAGATTGGAGAGCTTGCGCAACGAAGTTCAGTTCGTTACCAAGAGGGAGAGGGAGGCACAAGAGCTGTACAGGAAGAGGAAGGAAGAGCTCGATAACTTGCAGCAGCCTGTCAATGGTGTATATTAAGCGGTTTCGTGGGCATATGTTTTGTTCAAGCCCTTGTTTTGATATTGTTGGATGAAGGGTGGAAGGTCGCTGACCGTATGCATTGGCGTGGCGTTTGAAATTGCACGGCAGGTACATTTGAGACTGCTTTTTGAAATACCAATGTCATTACTATGATCTACCTCAACACATACCGTACTCATGACATGTACAAACTGCGACGCCTATCGACGGGTCTATCATGCTCACGATTGCCGTCTCATGCGTGACGTCAAATAGACCCGAGATCGACCATGCATATTGCTTTTCAGCCAACGCCGAAGGCCGAAGTGTTTAGTGTCAGGGCATTACCTTATGTCGTATGGGTATCACAAGAACAGAAGCAAGACGCACACGTAGCAGAGTAACAAGTCATTGGTAGAAAGTCTGTTCATATTCATAATCTCCATGATACACGATGAAGAACCCAACCAGAGCCCCAGTCCAATCCAGTCCATTGGGGTATAAGAAAGGCACCAATCCAACATCCCCGAAGGCGGGTAAATGTTCAAAGAAACCCAGAATTGACGCCACTGTCCCCGTTGCCGTGATAGACCCAATCTAAACGAATTGAAGAGCAAGAATCCAAATGGTTAACGCGCCCATTAAACTTTCATAAACACATGCGAAACATGACATGGGCCAAACTAGCACTTGCCGTCAAGAACCTCAAAGATGCCGACGACGTGGACTTCGCTTGTGCCGCGGCCCATGCTAGGTCGTGGCTCGAGGACGTCGAGTTCTTGCTCAAACAAGTGCTTCTCCTCTTCCATCTCGAACTCGTACATGCTAGGCTTGCGACGGACGGCGAGCAGTTGCCTGATGGATGAGCCTGAGGAGCGGTGGCTGTGTGGCGAAGAGTTGCGGGTCAGAGGCGTAGTGCTTGAGGAAATAATGGATGATGGCGAGGCAGAGCGCATTGAGTTGCGGTTTGGGCTAAAGGCAGTCTTAAGACGACGGAGGGATCCGGATGTGCTTCGGAGGGGAGTGAAGGATTGGAAGCGGTTGGTGCGGCTTGGGGAAGGCATTTTGACTGTTGGGTTGGTCCTTCGGAGTGGTAGCGATGGAAAGTAGATTGGTGATTAGTCGGATGTTGTGATGGTAGTATTTGCTTCTTGGTCCGGCAGTCGATACAATGTAACTTCCCGTTGGTTGAGTAGGTGAAGTTTGTGGAGTTCGACAAGGCAGATTGGTGTAGAAAGAACCAGCTGTCCTTGGGAAGGGTAATGTAAGGAATGTAGTTGGAATTGGGGGTACGTCAACGAATGTTGGCTCTGAGGGTCGGCTTGCGAATCAGAGGGGATGACGTGTAATGCAGCGGGCGTGCGTGGAGGCGAGAGCTCAACAAAAGTCTCGTGATGTAGACCAGCTTCGAGTAAATTGCGGCAGTGTCGAAGGGAGATCAACTCTGTTCAAAGGTATATATGGATAGATGGGGCAAAGAACAGAAGCGCGCACAGATACACGAAAGCGAAGGTATGTAAAGGGATGAAGAAGGAAGTTCACGAAGGTATTCCTGTTGGAAAAACAGCGGACTCGCGGATCCTTAAGCTGCGTGTCGCATGTGCTCTGTGCCAGTGCGTGTTACGTCCCAGAGCTAAAACCTTGGACAGACGGAGCAGCGGCATCCCTGTCAGGAACGCGTGAATTGAGGGGTAGAGCCTCGTTTGATCACCGGTCTAGAAACAAGCGAGCGGGAGACATGCTGTGCCCATTGATTGCGCCGCGGAATGATTGCATGGCTTCATTTCTCAGGAGCCTGCAATCGATAAGAGATTGCATGGCCATGTGTAGAGACAGGATCATCCTCACTTGTCGTGGAGAATCGTTGATGGCCGACTTGTTGGTGGCTTCACAAGAAATTGTGAGGGTTGCCGTAGCTATTCTTACGTCGGCGATTAGCTAGTCTATGTTTTTGTTGACGTTGTTGTTGTTGCTTTTCTGCGCGACGCGTTCTGCAGGTGTCCGCGTGCTGTCATCCACACCGGCGTTCTGCATCATCGTCAGGGAGGTCCGCCATCACGTCCAAGCCATAAACTTGTCGAGTAGGCACGATGATCGGAGAGGTTTCCGCTCGCCATCGACCTGGAGCCGGTCAAGCCGCTCCTAGTTCGGCCAGTTCAGACGCAACCACCCTGGCCGTTGTTTCCTGCGTGCATCCCACCAGCCATAAGAAGGCATTACCCAGCACATGAAGCTCACAATGTCTCCATGCTTAAACGGCCTGTCTCGAGACCTGGTGCTGCGTGTGTGATGCAAGAATCTGCGACAGGCGAGCGTATCCGAAAGTGGAATAGCCTGGTTCGCCGAGCTATCTGACGGCAGACCAGTGTTTCAGACGCAGCGGACGTTCAACAGATGCAGACGCGTTTTTGATGCTCCGGTGTGATGCTACGTAGTGGTGTGTCAACGTTGGAACTTGTTGTAGACGTAGCAAAGACTGGTATGCATTGTGCTCACGGCTCTTGATGTGAGGGGGGTCTGGTGGACACCACACTCGAGTGCACCCTTAGCAGAAGCGATGAGCCGATCAACGTTTCAGGTGCGCATGCAGCTTCTATCGACGTGCGGGGCGATCGTATTTACTAGTGCATTATGTTCGCGTGGTCCTTGTTAGGTCTAGAAGAGAGGAAGAAGCTGAAAACTAGCTGTAAATCAGGAACGGGCGACAGCACTTTCCAATCCAAAGTGGCGGAAGATACAATTAGCGTCTGTCACCTGAGCATGTTCATGCAGCATATGCTGTCTGATCATTTTCTGTACCATGGTACGGTTGCTCGTTGGCAAGCGTGCTATGGCAAGATCCTGGGCAGGTTCACGATAAACGTTGAGTAGTGTACCAGACAACCTCATGCGCCACTCTGCGAACTAGTACCAACGACTCTCGTATCCTTCAATCAAAAGTCGACCAAGTGATGAAAACAGCCACCGGCAGGAGAGAAGTAAAGCTTTGTGATAGGGAATATCTAAGGTGATTTGATCAATCGCTCAACGCCGACGCTATGCAATGCCAAAAGTTAACTCCACCACCGACATTACACCGTTACAAGCACTACCCCAACACCGATCCAACCCATCAGTCCCATACCAGCGTTGCGTGTCGGGTTGATGCCAGCCGCCTACGTATCCAATCATTCCAGACGTTCATGCAACAGGCTTCGTGTCGTGCACCACTCTGAACCATCCGACTCTGGCTCGACCCTTTGCCGAAGCCGTACCAAGCCATTTTGATCGACGTGATTGACACACGCCATACATATTCTCGGCGGTCATAAACAAATCCCATCGGACGCTAACTACGCCTTTTTTGGGTGAAACTCCTCCTAATCGATTCACCCCATGCCGAGTTATCAAGCACTTCCAAAACATCTGCCGCACTGACTGCGCTATTTCCACGGCTACGACTACCCGCTTGCCCGGGATCGACTTCGAGAGGACTAGGTGGCCGACTAAGTGCCGAAGCAAACTGCCATTCTTGCTCTTCTCCAGACAGAGAGAAGGGAGATGGTTGCGGACTTGCCCGTGTAGGCGAGGCTGTTGGTGTCTGTTGTATTGAGTTGGTTCTGCTCCGTGTGCGGTCGTAGGGGAAAGCTGGTGGCGACGTGGACTGACCAGCCGAGTTTCGAGGGGAGGGTGCGTAGAGATCTTGGGGTGAGAAGAGAGGACTGGGAGGTCCGGAAGATTGCCCTCGTTGGGCGTCTGTAATGTCTTCATCGTCGATGAAGATCTCGGGAACGGTGAACTGCGGGATTGCTGTCATACGTCCCTGCTTCTTTTGATCCATGGCGCGGCGGAAGCGTCGTGCCCAGTATAATGTGTCGAAGAAACCAACAACCACGTTGCGGCGAACAGCTTCTTGGACTCTTTGTAGACGAGCTCTGCGCCTCAAGAACTCCTCTAATCTCAAGCTCTTATTATCATTGATGACCTTGTGATGAGCCAAGATCATCAGCAATGAAGAGAACTGGATACCTCTATCAGGGTCACTTGACACAAGCACTTCCTCATAGAAAATGTTCATGCGTTGTCGTCTGCGACGTATTTCCGCGATCGGTAGCTGTGCGAGACGACGGTTCAGCTTGTCAAGATCGATCTCTTTAGTCAGCTCACGACCGGATACTGGGAGGCTGGATTCCCTTCGAGGTGCTACAGCACATTCATCGATCAAGGAACCGACGGTAAAGTCGCCGTCATAAATACGCATCTCAAAGATACCGGAGAGTTCCTAGTGTTGTTAGCTTCGTGCTTTGATACGAACATTGATAAACCTACACCCAGGAGCCTTGGAAACACATCCCTTGAGATATAGCCTGTCCCGTTAGGATCAAACTCTGCCCAAGCTTGTTTGAAGCGGCGGATCTCTTCTCGGCTGATGACAGACAACCCACTGCTTCTTTGATACACGTAACTGAAACTTTCGTATATCAGCGAAACAAACAAGTTGACGAAGATGTACATGCTCAAAATGTTCCAAGTGATGAACAAAGCTCGCGCCCATTCCGGACTGCCACAGTCGCTGTTGAAGTACTTGTCGCCTACCGTGCAGTAAGGTTTGTCGACGTTGGCGAAGTCCTCCATGAACTCGTTCCAACCCTCACCACCACTCGTTACAAAGAGGAAAACAAGTGCTTTGGGTACGGTCCGGAAGTTGACATTTCCAGTTTCATTGGCTCCGAATCTGGTGAGACCGAAGGTTTGGGTGAGGGCGATGGCATATACCAAGAACAGGACGAACCATGTGGCAAGAAGGTTGGCGATGGACGCAAGACTTGCTGCCGCAGTCTTGAATAGCTGGTCGAGTTGGTTGTTCCGAGGGATGAGCATGAGAGCGATGGATACGAGGAAGAGCTTGTGCAGCTGGACGATTATCCTAACATCCTCCTTCGCTAACACAAGAATCGACGTGACGAAAGTACCTGCAACGGAGAAGATCGAGTACACGTCCCACGCGCTTCTCCGGAAACGATGCCAGGAGAGACCGATGATCCTGATGACTACATTCGCAATGAAGGTGATGGTAAGCGCGAGGAAGATATAGTCTTGTGATGTTAGTGTCAGTTTACAAAGCAGGTAGGACAGAACTCACCTCTAGCAGTCTCCCATGGTCCATATCCTGGATACCATTCCAGACAAAGCAGCAGAAGATGCAGTACCAGAACGCCGGTGATGGTTCTCTGCCAAGATCCAGTTTTCGTGACGGCTCTGCGGTAACACCACTCTTCCCAACTCTCTCGTTGCTTGGTGGAAGAGGGTCGCTTGGAGGGAGAGACTTGGCGGAGGAGCTTCCGCAGTTCTAGCCAAGAGCGCTGGTCTGTGGTCAAAAAGGCGACTCCAGTCTGTTCCGTGTAGTTGCGCATAAACACGGAAACAAATAGCGTCAAGACGAAAACAGCGCCGAGCAAGTTGAAAACAATGAAGAAGACAGAGTTGCCTTGAGATGCTCTGTCCTCTGGCTGAGTATAAACGCCAGTGATACTCATTGCAGTCCACATGTTGTCTGTCCAGCCTTCTTGCGACACAATCTGGAACAAGATGAAGAGGGCATCTCCAAAGTTATCGAAATCGTAATAAGGATTGGCAGCTTGGCGTGGGGCCAAAACATCCCAGTCGAACGGCGAGCTGTTGTACTCACCAACACAATCTCTCAGACTGGCGCCTCCAGGAAAGTCACCGTCGTTGCAAGACTGTAATTGGCCAACGAAGAGGTTCAAACCATAGATGGCAAAGGGGATCAGCAAGCTCAATGACACAAAAGCAGCCTGTTTACAGTTAGTTTGAAGTATGTATACCATAGGGCATGCTTACTGAGAAGAGTTTCCACCAACCGCGAACGATGAGCGCGTGGAAGTGGTTGCGTGCGCTATCGCTAATGTTGAGCAAACGCAGAGCTCTCAATGCTTTGAACGCGCCTACAGTTCGAGTGACTTGACCCTCATTCAAGAACGAGGTGCCAACGTTGACCCAGAGAGTGATCAATACAATACCATCTATGAAACCCCAGGAGCCGCGAAAGTATGCGTTGGGCGTCCAAAAGAAGCCATCAGCAATCACTTTGATGAGCGCCTCAATACTGAAGAGGACGGCAAAGCCCATATCTACCCACACGAACCAGTTCTTGACGCTGAACTCGTGAGTCATGAAGTATTCGCGTTGATACAATGGCGTCGTGATACAAGCCAACAATACCATGGCGATAATGGCAGCGTAGATAAATGCAGAGAATGCATACCAAACGGGAACGGATGGTGCAACTCCTTCAATACGGTCACCACCACGGCCAGGGCCCACAATCCGCTGACATAGCTTGCGGATCGGGTTGTTGGCTCGAAACACGAACAGGGAAACGTTGTAGTTCGGGTGGTTCCTCAAATACTCGCGTTGAGCCTTCTTTCGTCTCTCGGTAGCTGAGACGACCTCCTTTGCCATTGTTCTAGGATCAAGGTCCTCGTACGCACGGCTGAAGTCAAGGGAAGCGTAGAAAGGGTTGACTTCCCGGTGCACAATTCGGCGCTGGAATCGTTGCCAGATCGTGGACATGGTTCCGGATCCCACTATGGTCTTGGCCGGACGTATGCCAGGCCGAGGTTCTTCCTCTTGAGGGCTGTCATTACCATCCCCCTCATCGAGGAAGTCGCGAACAACCGCATCTTTGAGCAGCATTTCTGTGGCGGCGGAACCATAGTCAAGTGGATCTCTTCGACGCGCCTGTCCAAGCTTGAAAATGGACGATAGGGATAGATTACTATAATGTGTAAGCAGGTGTGTCATCAGTAGAAAGGGAGGTCAACATACCCAGTGCCCGAGGTAAGGCCATCTTCTTTTTGCTGCAGGAAAGCTTTGACTTGCTGTAAGCGCTTCTCGTCCTCGGAAACGTCAAAGTTCTCTTGAATGACAGCGATAAACATGTTCAAGACAATGACTAGTAAACAGTGAGTCCGCGGTCTTGGAGTGAATGTCAACATTATACTCACAGTTAGCAAAGATGAACCACATGATACAAAAGGACGCTCCTATCCACGCTGTACCGAACGGCTTCTGATGTTCGGTGACGTTGTACAGGATACTGGTCCAATCTTCACTGGAGAAGATTTGGTACATTCCTAGGAAGGAATTGTAGATATCGAAAAACGGTACGCGGATCGTCTCTCCACCGCTCTCCTCAGGAATCTCACCGCGAAACAGCTGGGAGGCGAAGATAGATGCCAGGAAAGTCAAAAGGAACACGAAGAGAATCAGGTTCAGCAAACCGCCCGCGTTTCCGAAAACAACTGTCTGGTATGGTTGTTAGCTGAATTCTTTCCAATGGCAAAGAGTAGAACGTACAATGAGGTCGCGTGTCATAGGCACAGCCAAGACAATGCGATAGACACGAATAATCTGAAAGATGGACAACCAGGCATAGGCTTTCCCATCGTGTGCATGCTTGATGGCTGGTATCTGTATGATGACTGTGATGATAGCGATCATGAGGTCGATGAGGTTCCGCCTGCCCTTGAAGAAATGTCTCCAGTCGACGATAATTCGTATGATGATCTCAACGAACAGGATGAACGTGACGATGATCTCGGTGGCATTGATGAAGGTGCGACGAAATTCGCTCATGTTGGCGCTTCTCATCATCTGGGCAACAAGGCCAAAGGCTATCACAACCACCCACACCCATAGAGTCTTGTCGTAAAGCCGCTTGAGACCGCTCACACGTTTCTTTTCGTCGTTGTTCTCGTCATCCTCCTCTTTGATCTCCACGCCAGTAAAAGCACTAGTCTTGCTTTCTTCGCGAATGATCTGGAAGGAGGAAGTAATGACAGCAATCAAAAGAGATATCAGCCATAAACTCAGAATCAGCATTCCCACGATGAAGAAGACGGAACTGATAAGGTAGTCTGTGTCGGCTACAGTGTAGAGCAAGTCAGACCAAGTGTTGGATGACATGATGACGAAAACAAGCTCAAGAGATTGAAGAATATTGTCAAAGCTTTTCGTGCCTGCAGCGGGGTTACTCATCTCAACGCATTTTGAACCTTTTGGGCAAAGAAAGCCTTTCCCCTTGTCAGGCCCAGGTGGCATACCCGGAGCAGGTATGTATGTCATAGGGTGATAGCCTGGAATATTATCCAGGTGACCACCGCAGAATTGACCTTCATTCGTGACGTTCGTGTTCCCCGTTAGATCTGTTGGATCATACCACACACAGTTTCTCCTGAGGCTTGACTTGAAACTTTGGACACCGACAATTGAGAAGAGGAGCCAGAAGAAGCTGATGAGGAATGCAACATTGACCAGCAAAGGCGCAGCCTTCTTCAAGCTCCTGAGGATAACGGAGGTACCGCTGGTAAGGTTCAGAAGACGGATGATGCGCAGACAGCTCAACATATCGAAGACGAGAATGACTCGGCTGTTGTCAATGTTCCACAGGCCTAGGACAAAAGCAATCCAGTAAGAAACGACGGCGACGAAGTCCGTTCGGTTGAAAGAATGTCTGAGATAGGCTCGATGTGCCAAGCGAGTGCGTTGTTGATGGCGTGCATCTCCTACTCCGATGTCGGTATGCATCTGCGCAGTGGTAAAGGTCCGGAGCACTGAAGGCTGGTGGGGATCCTGAGCGGGATCGGTATTGGTGGCACTTCTTCGCTGTGAAGGTTGTCGTTGGAGACCCCCGAACAACTGGTTTGCTTTGCTCATGACAGCCTCGCGCAAGCCAACCTGTCGGTTGATGGTACTGTACTCAACGGGATTGATGATAAAACCAGAGACAATGATGCGGATAATAACCTCTAGCGTGTATATGATAAAAAGGACGAACAGAGCGTAGTCAATGCCGTTGAATGTTGAGATCTCTTTGCTGTGCCCGGCATTGTATTGCGCTTTGGTGCGCGCATCCACTGCTAGAAGAACTGTCTGAATGACGATGAGTACAAGAAGCGTTGGCTCGACAACTGGATGCACAAGCAGGTCGCAGAGCTTGATCCTCAGTTTATTGTCGGCAGGGAAAATTCCCAGACTCTTTCCCCGCAAAGGATTTGGAGGATGTTGCCATGATGCACTTGGTGTTCTTGAGTAAACGATAGGCGACGGGGGCTTCTCGATTGGCGTGGATGGAACAGGTGAGGTAGGGCCATCTGTGGAATACTGGGGCAAGGTTGAAATTGACAAATGAGGTGGTGCAAGGCGTCCCTGATGTTGAGTGGATTTCCGCTGAAGGGTTCGTTCGGCAACTTGAGAATCATTGCTGACATTGACAACACGCTGGGACATATTCCGCATGATAGTCCCAGCCCTGTGTAGCGGCGACTCGAAATTGCCAGGCGACAAGGAGCGCTTCCTTCCTCTCGAGTCTCGCAAGTTGCCCCCCGCCTCCACCTGCCCGATATCGTCGCCATGGCGGCCTATCGGCGATGCATCGCCTGGACTGAGGAAGCGCACACTCTGGAAACTGGATCGATCTTGCTCAATCGGAGTAGTTGGGGCCGTGGCTCCGCTTATCGGTTGGAGATTGCGCGAATCTGTCAAGCGCGCTGTGTCGTCGTAGGTAGGGGAGAAGTAGTCGTGGTCCTCGGAGGTTGATCTGTCCACGTATGGCTCGTGCTCGTACGGTGTATCGACGTAGGATAATTGCGACGAGCCTGTCGTAGGCATTGGCGGCGATGTAGTGCCTTGGAATTCCATGCCCATGCCAAATCCGATGGCAGCCTGGAATGCGCCTGCATCCAAGGGCGAGCCAGGCTCCTCGTCTTCCACCACCCTCCGTATGCCATTATTCGCTGGGGGCAAATTGGTGTTTATTTGCGGCCGTTGGGCGAAGCGCGTAGGGCTGGGCGACACCTCTGCGATGGGCGAGTACTGAGAGTCGCGGAAGTGCCCCCCTGTTGCTATCGCGCCTGTCTGTCTGAGCAGGTTCCGTCCTCGGTCGCTGAGGGTCCGCCTGTGTTCTTGCGGCGCATCTTGTTCGAATTCATCAGGCGGGCGGTTGAGGTCTTGCAGAGGTATTGATTGGTGGGTGTGACTTCGGCCGTGGTTGGGATCTGGGTAGGACATCGGAGCGTCCTGTCTGGTTTGCGGCGTTCAATCCAGCATCTGATGCAGCTCAGCTCTCTCAGGATGCTATCGCGCAATCATGCAGGCTTCCAAACAAAGATAAACGAGTGTCGTGGTGAAAGGAGCGGTGGGAAAGGCGGTGGTGGGCTAGCTAAGTCCAGCGCAGAGTTGCAAAGGCGTGTCTTGTATGTTTGGTAGCAAAGTGTTGGTTGAAATGCGGGATGGATAGCGGATTCCCAAGCACGGACAAGGGTCAATGAGCGACAAGGATACGCAGCGTGGACTAGGGCTGAGGTTCTAATCTTAGTTTAACGGCTACTGTACCTGTCGTGTCGGCATGCGCTGCTCCATGTCCACAGCAGAATGCGTCTGCTACGGCGAATGCCCTCTTGCTGTACAACTACATACACGGTGTTTACTCGTGAAGCCAAAATACGCTACAATAAGCACCAGGGACCAACACGACCGCAGAGGATCCGAAACTGCTGACGGCTTACCATGCAACGTCTCTGGCCCCTGGCATGTGGCATTCTCCGGCAATGAGCCACACTTGGTGGAGTGCTGTGGCTTGTGCGCCTGCGTGGCTGACGCGTCCTGTGTCATCAATCGGGTCATCAAAACCTTTATGACATAAACCCTTGCCATGTTGATTCGAACGAGTTGGTGCGGTGCGCGCCAATCCACCGTCGGTCGACTCATGCATCATTTCACGAAACGCTGATACTCTATAAGCCCGTATTTCTCCGGTGAGATGGGTGCTCTAAAGTTTATCATGGCAGCTACCATGGTAAGCGACCTATATTCATACCGTGTATACAACATAGTATTTGTGCCGTTCTGTTCTGCTTGTATACTGAAATCGATATCATTTCTTGCCGTTCTTCGTTATGGAAATGCCGTCTCTGCGAGTTGACATGTGCGAGCTGGCACTATGCCGTTTTGGGCTCTCCCCCGGACTCGCCGACAATCGACGCGCGACATTCATCACTCACTTCACCAAAAAGGGACATCCGCATTCACATCATCGCCCTGACCCCGAGCCGACCGGCACAACGACAGTATTCCACATCGTCATCTGATAACACGCGCATCTTCTATCCTTCGCCTCTGGTCTCGAAACCGTATTCGCCCGTTGCTCACACGCGTCGCTGCACGCGAGGCACCGCAGCCATGCCGTCTCGAAAACGCGCCGCCGAGGAAATGGAGGCCGAGGCGCCTGTCGAAGAGCCCAGCACATTGCAGAAACTGCGCAACATGTGGCAGTTCTCCAACCTGGCCCAGTACATCAGTCTGTTCGGCGACGCGGTCAAAATCGACAAGGACTTTGACATCGAGGTACATGGCATTTGCGCCCACCATCTCAGGCTGGCGCGCATACATCTCGCAAACATCAGGAACTGACAGACGTGTAGGAATTGGAGTCTGAATGCCTCAACCCACAGCCGTCCGAGAAACTTGCACAAATTGGCCTAGCGCTGCTGAAGCACGTATCGTCACACAAGGGCTTGACGTAAGAACCCACCATTGCGCATTGCCTGCAGCCTGCTAACGTGATGACAGACCCGAGATCTTTGATGAATACACCCGCCGACAGTATGTCGCGAAAGCGCCCGCGCGAAACCCCTTTGGCGAGGAAGAGGAGCCCAACAAATTCCACGATTTCGACGTCTTCACCAAGATACGCGTGTTGCAGCAGTTATCTGTGTGGACGCTCAACAACCCAAACACAATAAGAGAGAAAATGGCAGCGACGGATAACGAGCAGACGCTCTGGGTATGTATCACATGGATTGGTTTAGGGCAATGATTAACATGTTGCAGCGTATGGAGCCCACAGGCTGGGACTCGCAAGAACGATCGCTCTATGTTCTAGATGACAACCGCATGTACCGAATGACAGATCCACCACCGCCTCCCGAACCTGCCAAAGCCAAAGCCAAACCAAAGTCCAGGAAATCAAAAGGATCGAGATCCAGCAAGCGACAAAAGGCGTCTACTCCCGAGCCCGAAGAAGCCGCCGATGATGAGCAAGTAGCGGACGAACATCAGCCTGAGACGATAGACGACGGTCTTGGTGGTAAGAAGTGGGAGTGTATCTGCGTTACCTTGGAAGACTACCAGGAGTACATGAACAGTATCCGGAAGAGTCGCGACCCAAACGAGAAGATACTCTACAAAAGGCTCCAGGAGGACGTCATCCCTGTTATGGAGGGGCTGGCAGAGGAGCAAGCGAGAAAGCAGGCCCGCAAGTTGAAAGAGTTGGAAAACTTGCAGAAACTTGCCACGGCAAAGCGCTCATCCCGAATCTCATCGCGCCTTGAAAAGCAGAAAGAGGTGGAAGAGGCTGAGGCTGCAGAACGTAAGAGGCGGGAGGAGCTTGCCATGGCCAAGGCAGAGCAAGAGAGACAGAAGAAGATGGAGGAAGCACAAGACTCTCGCAGGATGACTCGTGAGCAACGGCTAAAAGAGCGTGAGACGGCCAAGATCCTCAAAGAAGAGGAGCTGCGCAAGCTGCAAGAGAACGAACAAAAACTGGCCTCGAATAATGCAAGACTATCGGAGCGGCACCTGAAGGCCATGATGAAGAAGCACGAAAGTGACCTCAAGAGGCTCAACGAGGAAGAAGACTGGTTCTTTGACTGCGAGAAGTGCGGCACCTATGGCTCTAACCTCGTGAGTATCGTTGCACAATTACCCATACTTCTGCTAACTCTGACAGAACGACAACACGCCTCAGATATCATGTGAGAAGTGCAACGTTTGGCAACACATGAAGTGCCACGGCATTACAGAAGAACAGGCCGATGATTCGAAGTTTGTGTTTGTCTGTACTGCCTGCAAACGTAAAGAGGAAGAGGCGGATCAACCGAAGCCTCAGTCTCTCAAGTTACGATTGACATCACAATCGCCATCTTCTCAAAGCCTAGCAGAAGCAAATGGCAACGGACCCTCCATGCCACGACTACCAGCACCGCAAGCCTTCCAGCCGTCTATGCATCCTGTACAGCCGTGGGTCGATGGCCCAAGTCTATCTCCTCGTGGTCAAGCTTTGGGTCCGCCTGGTATACAAAGATCGGAAGCTGCCTATGGATCGCCCACAAAGGGCACAAACGGTAGCATGTCATCACCGATACGATCTCACTTCTCATCCCCTGGCCACAGAACTGGGAACGGTCATCCGACGTCTTCACCTCCACCTTACAACCTCGAGCGAATACCGAGCAGCCCAACCAAAAGCTTCCACATGCCACAACCACAGCAGAACGGCAGCTCATTTGGGGGCCCAAATCCGTTCGATTCCAACCCCTTTGGACCACCACAGCCGGCAGCACCACCGTACGCGCGAAGCTTCAGTCGCCCAGCATCAGCAGCAGGCCCAGGCGGCTCGCCAGTAAAACACTCTCCGGCGGCCTCTCCCCGTCCAGCCAACGGTCTACCACCTAGTTTCAACTTCAACAGCCCACATTCTTCTTTCCCACCTAGCTCGGCCAACCGTCCATCATTCTCCCCGACCAAACATAGTTCGCCCGCACCTCTTCCAGCAAACATGTCATCACCGGCCCCAGCACCAATGCGTATAGCTCCGTCTCCATCGTCCCAAATGCCTGCCCAGATGCTCCCCGATCCCATCCCAGCGCCATTGAAGCACGATGGTATGCGGCCAATATCGAGTCATCAGATGTCTGAGACACCCATCTTTCCGCCAGTTAAGAGCCTGGAACCCCTTTCTAGCCCCACGATCCTTGACCCACCTGTTAAAAAGTCGAGTCCTGCGCCGGACAGGTTTCTTGATAGGATGAATGGTTTGAATGGGGTTGGACATGGTAGCAGTCAGTAAGCCCCATTTACTCAATTGAGGGGGAGATTCCAAATTTTCTTGATCAAAGGGCAGACAGCTTTTAGTAGCGCTGGCAGTCTTCTCTGTCTTGTTCCCTTCTTCGCTTGCTTATTTTATGTGCAAGTACAGTTTCGTATACTACACCTTGGCCTTCTTTCCTCCTTCTTCTTTTAGCAACGTCGCGGCGTTCTGGTAGCAGATATAGATTGAGCCAGAGATTTCCTCAGCCTGGTTCTGGTTTGTCTCTTGCATCGTTGGGGGTAATGGTGGTGGGGCAGCCAATAGACGATGTCTTTCTCCGGCAGGAAAGCATGTATTTGGCCACGAAAACACGGTGCATGCATGGCGTATTATTGATTCTAAAGCGTGGTTCTTTGCTTGCTTTGAACAGAGATTTTGTATTATTAGATATACCATTGAATGAAAAATTGACAACAACAACGTGGATGTAGGCTACAGAGTATCCTGAAGGTATTTGGTGTAGTCGTGATTCAAACACTCTTAGGATACACAATGATGCATCCCTGTTACAATGTATACGACGAATATCACCTGAGTTCCTCACTAATCCATGATCTCTGACAATTAGCCGCAAAAGGAAAGCCTGTGTATCAAGATGTGGATGTATAACTCCACGCGATATGTTCGTGATACCGAAAATGCGAACCGTGGAGACCAAGGTCAAATGTTCGGGGCTATTATCCACCCTAAGCAGGTATACCCACCCGATCCCTCGATATCCTGATCAAGATAAATATCGACCTCGACAGTGAACGATATCTCCTCTTGGCTGTGTGGTAACATCTCAAACCTGGAGAAAGAGGGGCGAAGAGCCCGGCACCAGTCAAGACGCCTTCCAAATCTTCTGTTTCTAGCCTTGCTTTACCGCTGCGAGACCAATAAGCTGCACACTGTGTTGTTTAACGTTGTTCTTCTTCTTGTATTACCAACTCCACAACTACCTAATATGCTACCAGAAAACGCCCAGACAGCGCCTTTCTCCCCATCCCAAATGACGCAAATGCCAAAATGTTCAGACGGTATGCAAATAACACCCAGCAAAATGAGGTCGGCAAGCGGACAAGCAGCCAAATCAGGCCTTTAGTCTCCTCTCCTCACAGCGCACACAAACAGGATCCTGACTCTCACCCCTGAGGAAATATCTACCGTCTTCAAAAGGACCAGAGCAGCACTACACAGGTAAAGTCAGTAAGCGCGATACTTGAGTTGGAAGAAGGAAGAAGACTTACCACACAGACAAAGCATCCAACATGCCACTCCGCCCCAAGCGCCTTGACAACGGTATCGGTAACAGGTTTTCTACACCCCTTACACTTCGTACTGTAGCGATGCGTATGGCAATTCACGCACCAAGCGTATCCATCTTTCTCCACAAAAGGGGTTGTGGAATCAAACGGATCACCGCACTGAGCGCAGAAGAAATGACCAGCATGCCATTCCGCGCCGCAAGCGACGATGACCTCGCCTTCGATTGGCGTTTTGCAACTTTTGCAACGCGGGGAGAAGAGCTCATGGAAGTCGAGGTGGCAGTAGAAGCGTGGAGATTCATCAGTGCCATCATCATACTCGAGACGCGCCATGTCGTCTGCGGTGGGGTGGGAGGGGAGATAAGGGATGTCGGCGCCGGAAAGACGGGCGCGGATGCGGTGGACGCGTTCGGCGTGTTTGTTCGAAGGTTCCGGGTAGAAGGCTACGCATTCGAGGTGCTCTCCACATTGGTAGCAGGCGAAGCATTCGGGATGGAAGCGGGAGCCTGATGCTGAAACGATACGGCCTGCGATAGGGAGGGCACATTGAGTGCAGAGAGCGCCTGTACGGACTGTGGTTGGTGTCCAGTGGCCTGAGCGGGGAGTCGCAGTGCCGTTATAGCTGTGGGACTTGTTCTGAGCGTTTGGCACTGGTAGTGGTCGTGTAGACGCGGCCGGGCCAAAACCTTTGGGTCCGTTTACGTTGATCGAAGGCACTGAAGGGCTGACCGATATCGCAGGGGGGTTGTTGTTGTTGTTGCGCCCTCGAGTAGGAGCTGGGGCCTCGTTGACAGATATGGTTGGAATGTCAGGAGTCACACTAATGGATGGTGTAGTCGACCCTCTCCTCAATGAGGGTGTTTCGCTCACGGAGATGCTTGGAATTGGGGGAGCGTTGGTTCTTGACCCACGGCTCGGCGCAGGTGATTCGCTCACGGAGATTGATGGGATTTCTGGTGTCATGGAGACTGAGGGTGTTGTGGAACCTCGTCTTAGAACTGGAGACTCGTTGACCGATATGCTTGGTATAGACGGAGTGCTACTTGTTGGCGGCACATAGGAGCTACGATTGAACAGATTCTTCCTGGCTGAAATCGATGGGGTCTCAGACACGGAGATAGAAGGAACTGGCGGTGCTGGTGTCGTTCTCGAACGCGCAGGGCCCGATTCAGACACGTTAATAGTAGGCAGAGGAGTTACAGAAGGTCGAGTTGGGATGTTGGCCTTCCTTAGCGAACTAGTGAGTGGTAGGGGTCTCGTTGGGGCTGGAGGGTCTTCGTAGATGTTGATGGTAGGTTTCGACTTCAGATTGAAACGCCCAGGTGCAGGAACGGAAGCTGACGAATGGTTAACTTCTGGAGCCACCGGTGGCCTAGGAGTGGTGCTTCGCTCTGGTACGTCTGGTGAAAGACTGACTTTGGGCTCTGCAGGAACGTTGATCTCTGGAACCACAGGCGGTCTTGGAGTAGTGTTTCGCTTAGGTACATCTGGTGCGAGGCTCGTGGTAGGTACGATGGGCTCGGTTGCAGCGTGCTCGAGTGGAGGTTTGCCAGACTTATTTGGGTTCAGAGGTCGTGGTGTTAGATCGGGAGCAGTAGATATTTCCTCTTTCATCTCGATCACGTTCCAGTCTTTCTTGAAGGAAACGATCGGTCGCCCTGGGGCGTCTGAGACTGCCGTAGGAGTGGGCAGCTTTGCACTGCGGTCCTTCAAACGAAACCCTGTAGCAGCACGGAGCTCTTCGCTTCTTATCTCCTTGCCGTCCTTCATCTTCACTTCTGGTTCATTTTCTGCGTCTGCCTTGACATCCTCTGACGGCTTTGGAGCTGCAGAGTTCAGTGTATACGCCGCATTTCTTGACTGAGTCGGAGGGTTCTTTTGTATCTCGTAACGATCGAGGCGTTTAGCAGCCATGGTGGGATCCGTGTTGGACCTCACCATCGGGTTTCCCTTGATGGATTGGAAACGCATAAAGGGATTGCGCCGAATGCCTAGTGGTAGCTTTTCGGGCTTCGGTGGTTCGGAAGCGGCGGGCGTAGGTGCAGGCGCAGGTGGTGCTTCTTCTTCGGGCTCTTCGTATATCTGGTCCTTCGGATTCGAGAAGAGACTCCCGCTGATAGTCCGGCGCTGACCACTGCTCCTTCTTCGTCCTCTGAAGTCTGGGAGGTCTGAAATGGCTTTCTTTAGTGCTGTTGACTCGTCCTTGTTGCCCTTTGTGTCGAAGCTACTCTTGGTGGGCGACGTACTGAAACCTGCGTTTCCAGCGACTGATGTATCGGTATTGCTTCCACCACCGTTGCTTTGCAAGCTGCTACTCCTGCTCCCTGACGCGGCACTTCCCATCGAATGTCGCTTCCGCAGTTTAGAATTGGCCCGTTGCAGATCCTGATCCTTCGGTTCGACGCTCCGACTCCTCTGCGCGCTGTTCTTCCTGGCCAGGCCCGGATAAGCATACGGTTTGGTCGGACTCACGCCAGCCGCATGGGGATTGCAATGCTTCCAGACCAGTTCGACAGCTTCGTCTCGTGCCGCCTCGAATATCTTGCCCTCTTCCTGTGCGAGTTCCAGATCCTCCATGGCAATGCGGATAGCACGTGCCTCGCCCTGCTCCGCCTGACGCTCTTCCCTTTCGCGGTACTGCACACTTGGTGTTCGTGTTTGCGACGACGACCTCGTAGTTTCCCGTCCTCGCGGTGGCTGCACCAGCGGCCTTCCAACATTGGCTACGACGTCATCTATACTCGCTTTCGACGTCGTTCGGCTATGCGATTTGGATTCGTACGAGGAGGAGGGTCGCGCATCGGCGTCGACAACGGGATCCGTGAAGGTGCGTTGTAACGAAGAGATAGCGGACGAGTCGGACATTCGGTTACTGGATCTATTCGACCATGTGTTAAAATGTGCGGGAGCAGGACGAGCTCCGGTAGGACGAGCGGGGCGGTTTGTGCGAAGATCTTGGAGATAGCTCTCTGTATGCCAATGGTCAGTATCGCAGTTGCAGATGCATTTCGATGCTTCTTACTCATTTGGGACGGAGAATAGTAGGCACCAGGCCCGGGCGACGAAGCGCCTTCCCTTTCCTTGGACGTGAACATTGGGGATGCACGCTGGCCTCGATGTTTACTGCTCTGTTTGTACTTGCCGGAAGTAATGGCGCGCTGGCTGGGAGAGCTAAATTGCTAACTCGGGGAAACAAGGGGAGAGAACGATATGTGAACGAGAGAAGATTAATTGTACGACACTACACTGCGAAAAAGCGGTGGTGATGTGGTAGAGCTGCTGCACGTAGCTTCTCTATTCGCTCGTTGCCCGGCAACTGCGACGTGTGACGCTGGTTGACCGCTCCCACCTGGCCATCCCTGCAACCGCATTATCCCCGGAGACCCTGAAGATCGGATACATGGCCAAGTATCGACTTCGCATTCTAGGCGCAAAAACAATGAGTTCGTGCTCGATGAACACTCTCGTCAAAGCGTTCGTCGTCTACGATCCGAAGTTGCTCCGTCGATATACGTGTCTGGCCCCACGCACGGATCCGGGGGATGATCAAAAGTGCCCAGGATGATACCTGGGTATGCCAGTTCGAGTGGTGTAAATAGTAATGTACAGGTTCCTTTTCTAGTGGCCCTCTATTATGACGTAAATGACATTTACAATCGTCGGGCTGACGTACTAACAAAACAATGCGCAGGCCTAGAGTCGAATCCATCTATGCCACCAAACCCCAATTCAAATCCAATCAAAAGCGAAAGTGGGTATCCTGCTATTCCAACACAACCATCTTCTCAACCCCAAGCCTCATCATGTCCCAGCCGCATTTGCTCGGTTGGCGTGTTCGTGTCCAGGACCGACAGAATCCCATCCCATCGTGATATTTTCCAGCATCGAATCCCACGATGCGTCTGCCATCGGCGTGAGACCTGTCCCGGCATTCAAAGCCGCATATTCCCACTCGTTGCCCATCACGAACCCATCACCATAACCTGTGTTGCCCATGTTTCCAGATGCGCCAAAGTTATTCGCAGGAAAGCTCTCGCTAGGAGCAACAAATCCTTGGAAACCAGTGTTAGAGCCCAGCGGCGGCCCTGTCATCTTAGGGGACGCCCGGTATGGGATGTTGTGCTCGATTGGCTGACCAGGAGAGTAAGAAGATCGTGATGTTGAACCGTTTCGTGATTGGGTGCTCATTGTTGCGGGACTGGGCTGGTCAACACCTCTATCGCCTCCAGAGAGGTCCATCTCGTTCCCATCATTGAATGCGAAGCCGGCGGGAGTGAATTCTTGGTTAGCAGCAAAGCTTCCGTGCGAGTTAAATTGCGATGGCATGAAGGCCGCATTCTGCGCATGCATATTGATGCTGTTGATGCTGTGGATATGAAACGGCGGACCTGGATTGTTGTTCGAGTATTGCGTATTGGGTATCGATGCTGGAGTAAATGGAACGCCATCTCCGAACGTGGTGGCTGCTGCTGCGGTAGAATGCTGTGATTCTTGTATGTTGATCAAAGGACTACAGCGAATTTGCGGATCAGAATGAATCGAGATGATGGTAGACTATGGGTTGGGGATTAGCAACTTACTTGGTAGAACTTCGACTTGGGATTTGGTATTGATTCGCAACAGAATCGCTCAATCCCTGGAGACTCTCTGGGGGTTGACTCACTTTGCCCGTAGGTTGTGCTAATGGCTGATTACGCATGCCTTGCAGACCAGCGCCTTCCAAATCAAGATCTAATTGCACTAAGAACGACTCCGTGAGCGGGTTCTTCCGACGAAGGGCTTCCATGGCTTGCAAGAGAAATTGCAGCGAGGACTTCATTTGTTCATCTTTTGGTCGGGTCTTAAGGTACTGGACGAATACTCTTGCTGCCACATAGACGCAGAAAGAGATGAACGGGTTCATCTGCTCAAGTCAGTCATTGCCAACTACTCATCGCAACCAAGACTATACTTACTGCACCAAGGTCCATATGACTGACCATGCGCATAATAGAAGCAGTCTCTGCCGCTGCTGTTACACATCGGATCTTGCTCTCATTACTGACGCTTGCCGGCAACCGGTACTTGTCTGCCTTGAAGATTGCTGCTTGGTGAAGACATATTGCCGAGGTATGGATGCACATATTCGTGAACACGACGTTAGGATCAGCTAGACCGGATGGTAGACGGAGAGGGTCTGGTAGGCTCAGCGATGTTTGAAGGAGTATACGCTCAATGTGCCGATGTCGGTTCCAGAAGCCACCGTTGATATCGTCGTCGTTATCGTCTGGCAAGGGTCGGTGCAAGTGAAGCAAGTTGCGGCCGAACATGGCAGCTGTCAGAACAATACCGCCGAGTGCTTGGAGGTTTGCCACGCCTCCAGGATTGAAGATGTCCTCCAATGGCCCAGTTGCCATTGGCCTACTCTTCTCGAACGCTTCATCACTTGCAGGTAGGTTGGTTATGATCTAGTTCACGGTTAGCACCTGCAGAGGCAGAACAACGAGTTGTCCATCCTTACGTCTTTCTCATCATAGGTCATCGGCCAACCGGTTCCAATACTTGCATATCGATCAATGCAAAAAGTCAACCAGAAGGTTCTTCGACGTTCCTCACGCTCGGTCCAATCCTTTGGTGGAGCCAGGCATTGCTTCACATCAAGTCCCACTCCATCCAAGCGATGTAGCTGCATCATCTGAGCTAGTCTTGCGCCTCTCCCAGCTGACAACCAGGCCCTCGGGAAGTACATTTGTCTGAACTCATACGTAGCCACCAGGACCCATGTCTGACAATGTGCAAGGGTGATGGTAGACTCTCCATGGCCCTTCATTTCATCCGCTTGCGCGTATTTCCTAGCACGTTGGTAGAAATGTTCGTGTAACGCATCGTATTTGTCTGTAATGGAAGCTGCTAGGGTCCAAATGATGTATCGCAGGCAAACTGGGGGTCGCATGTGAGGAGCCAGGTTTAAAGCGGCCATGAATCTTGGTCTATGTATGATGGGCATGGAGAGATGGAGCTTGGAGAAGTATATTTGATATCTGGCTGAGTGTCAGTAAAACCACCAAATCACAAGCAGAATTGTCGTCGTACAGATCGTCCATGATTTCTTGGGGAGGCAGAGGCTCCTCTAGCCCAAGTCCTATCATTTCCCATGAGGGCTCAGTCTCGGCGTCGTTCCCTGTTGTACCGGCATTTTGAAATGGGCTTGCGCCAGCAGTCCTCGATGCATTGGTTCCTGCTTGGAAATTGTTTGTCGCGTTGAGGCCGTCCCTAGAATTCGACAGCGCTTGATTTATAGTGTTCGCGACGTATGCGGAAGCGGAATCCTGGCGCGGGGCTTCTTTGCTCGAGTCGGCCGTGTCTTGGGTCTTGAGGAGGGTCTCGACTTGCTCTACAACCAGCGAGTCAGCACGAGATAGGTAGCAGAATTACGCGCTCACTTACGCAGTCGTTGTTCGAGCAGCTTCACGTAGCCACGCTTGGGCCCACTTTTCTTGCGGACTTCATCGTAGGCGCAATCGTGGGACAGTCGCTTACATGTCGAACACGTCGGCCGGGCGCCGTCGCATCGCAACTTCCTCTTCCTACACAAAACACAAGCGATCCTTTTGACCTTGTTCGGCCCCTCCTGCTGTGTGTCCTGACCGTTGGTAGAATTTGTTTCTTGCGCTTGTTGGGAAAGATCGTTAAAGAAGGTCTCATCCGGCGACTCTGACCCGTTAGAAGCCATGGTAGCGATTACTGTGATCTTTGGGGGTCGAGGAGGGATCGTAGATCCACGTTGAACCAGAGGACACCGCCCCCGCGTAAGCACGGTTCAGACGGATTGGGGGTCTTCTAGCTAGCCACAACTCTCGTTTTTATTGCGAGATTGGGTCAAACCTACGTCGGCGGTACAACGGTCGCTTACTGTTGGGGTATCGTTGTCGGTGAAGGGGATCTCGAACACGCGTGAGTAGGCAGCGACGGTTGGCGCCAGCACTAGGAACGCGGTATGGCTCTAAGGTAGATGCGAAAGTAGCATGTCAGAAGTGTATTCACTAGCGGGCATAAAATGACCCATGGCTGAGCTGCTCTCATCTGTGTGGTCTCATCTGCAAGGCCGTCCGCGCAATGCGTGCTGCCTTAAGCGTGATGCAAGACGTCGAGCATCTGGACTAATAATGGCGGATCTCCCGAGCTTTCCAGCTAGGATTGTCCACAAGGTCCCCTTACTCGTGTTTCGCAGCTAGACACGACTACTTTCACAGACAGCTGGCCCTATGAATCCTGACAGCTGTTCAGTAACCCGAATCTTACGTGCCGTCCGACGAATGCGGGTGCCGTGTGTCTGCAGGGCCCTGAACATGCAGCATCGCCAGAGCGGCAATGTGGGGCATGAGTCCAACCGAAGATGGGTCAGAATGCGCCCGATCTTCGCGCAGCGTCTTGTGTCATCAACCCAAACATTTGGTCGACGGCTTGAAACAGGATGTCGGTCTATCAGCGGTTGCACTAGTAGTAATCACAAAATGTTGTAGACGAGCAGTAACTTCAAGATACGAATAGCCAAACTTAATACGTGATGGCGCCTTCTCCTCAACTTCCATCTCAGTGAAGCTGTACCAGTAGATCTGGTTCGCCCAGGCCAAGTGATCTATGCGGGCTGGGAAGAGGTGGTCGCGAGATTGCATAGAGCCGCAACATGGAAAGCCCCGACCACCGAGCTTGGTCGCTGACTAAACATGCTGACTGTACAGGGGCAGGGATAGATGCGACCGAGAGAACCACCGATGTACGCTGCCAAGCCAATGACCTTAGATTTGCATGAGAGCACAAAGTTCGAGAACATGTCAAACTGTCTGAGCAGGAGATACGTGTTTGGTGGTGTAATGCGCATGATGGGGTATTCGGTGAAAGGACTGGGGTCGGTGGATAAGCTGGACTCGCTGGGGAGGCTACACAGCACACAACCCATGTCACTAAATAGACTTGTGTTGACATTCACCGCAAATGCTTCGAGGGCCCAGCTGGGTGAGTACTGATGTATTGGTAGTCGGCATGCGATGGGCCACTACAAGATATAGTACAGCTCGGACCTGAGCGTATAGTACACCGGCTGCTACCCTACTTTGACCTCCGCTTTCCTTGGTTGCGTGGTCGATCTTGGACAAGGAAGGTGTGCTTGTTTCTCTTGTGTCTGGTCTTGTAACCTCCCTTTGCTGGAGTGCCCCATGGACTGACAGGATGCACGTTACCCTTGGATTTACCACGACCACCACCGTGAGGATGATCAGCTGCGGTGTGTTAGTGGACTTCACGTCAAAGCCAGACTGATCCAAGGACTGACCTGCGTTCATTGCAAGACCGCGGACCTCCGGTCGCTTTCCTAACCACCGTGAACGACCGGCTTTGCCGAGCGATGTGAAATGTGATTGAGGGTTGCTAGCAACGCCAATAGTACAGCACGCATCCCCACTGACTTTGCGGATTTCGCCGCTCATCAATCGGATGATAACATGCTTGATCTCTGTGCTGTTGCCCTTTTCGACTTCCTCTTTGTTCACGATGATGGCGTATGTACCTGCACTGCGGCAGAAAACACCCCCACCTTGTGTCTTGGTGCCTACATTGTAGACCTGAGAACCAAGGGGCACCATGTGAATGGGAAGACAGTTTCCTCTCGCCGCCGTCTTCGCGGCCAGCATACCGGGATCGATGCCGCCACCCATACTGGCAATCAGCTCTTTAGGAATACCGCTCCTGTAGCTCTCGACCTCATCTCCCGCCCGCATGCCATCTGCAGCGATGATGTACGACTTCTCTCCGGTTGCCACGCGGGTAATGAGGGCCAGGTGTGAGCTCCGGTTGGGGTCGTACTCTATTCTTTCCACCACATGCTTGCCGGGCAGATAGCGCTTGTAGTCGACAATGCGTATCCTTCTCTTATGGCCGCCACCTCTATGCCTGACTGTGACTCGTCCTGTGTTGTTCCTTCCTCCCAGATGCTGTCCCTTGCGGGCGATGGTGAGCTTGAGGTGCGGTCGTCCCTTCCATAAATGGTCGTTGACAGGTCGTTTAAGGTGTCGCAGACCAGGTGTGCGGGGCTTGTATGTGCGTAGAGGAATAAATCGCTCCTTTCGTGTTCCTTCCTGTTTCAGTTCACCGGCGTCGGCAGCCACGGTAGGCTGTATCGATGGGGGTGGTTTAACGTCGATGGCCTGGACTTGTGCGTAGGTGCGGGCAGACAGCAGCGCCCGGCCCAGTCGCGAGGGCTGGAAATGACATATCCGCGGCTGCAGCATTCTCGTCTGATGCAGCTGGGGACACTAGATGCTTCACGCTGTTGCAATGGACGCCTGCTGGATGGCGTGCAGCTGCTGAACATGTCACGAATAATTCTCAAACCCGCCGCAATTGGCTAGGCCGGCCCGGGGTGGGTCTCTCAAGCAAGGCGCGATGTCCCAGCAACAACGTGTGTCTGCTTCCCTCGCCCATCACAACACGGCATCTCGACCACCGCTCTCCCTTGCGCTGCACCTTCCAAAACCCCATCTTTAACATCTGCTTTTTGCCAGCGACTCGACTCATCTTACTGCACGGACAGATTTACGCGTTGGGACCTGGCGTCATCTCTGGTAAGTCCATCTACGCGCCTGTGGGGCGTGCACTGTTACGCTCTGCCAGCCTCGAATGCGATTTTGGCGCGTGGGACGTGGAAGCCAAGCTAGCCTGCCCTCGCTCAAAACACACAACATACCCTTCCTACTTCCCACAACACACCTTGGTGCCCACCTTTCCTTCGCCCATCCCCCCATCCACCACTTCCTGTGTACAATTGTAGCTGGACCTCTACCCCGTCCACTCAATTACCACGCATCTCGCGCTCCAAGGGTTCGTCTCCATCTCGCCCGTCACGTCACCGTCGCTGCCGCATCCCAGAGAGCGTGGCAGAGCAGCCAGCATTCGCGAGCATCGACCGTGGTTTTGCCTGTCGGACTGCACATGCACACTGCGGCTCTTGATGCTCCCGTGTTGTCAGCCTGCACACGCGCTTTTTCAAGCTTCATCGAGCTCTGCTGACACCTCAAAACAGTGTATCAAAACAAGTCCTACATACGCCATTACACACTTCAGATATACTCGAGCACCTGGATACCTCTCTAGCCTTGATCAGCATATATAATATTGCTTGCAATGCCTCCCGCTGTACGTTGTCGCCCTTTCACCTGCTATCGTCCCATCTTTTCGATCCAGCATAGCAACACGTCTGGCACCATGCATCAAACTAACGCGTGTAATAGGCTCGAACTCTCAGGCAGCGCGCCGTCACTAACGAGAACGATGAGAACGCCGCCACGACACGCTTGACGCGTGCAAAGGCCGCGAACCTCGGCGCGAATGAGTCTGCTGCCGACATCCCCAAGAAGGCTCTCCAGACGAAGAAATCAACTGCTACCCTAGGCGCCAACGGCGCTGCCACAAGGAAGCGTGCTGCTCTCGGTGACGTCAGCAATGTGACCAAGACTGATGCCGTCGGTGCTGGCGCAAAGGACGGAAAGAAGGTACTGGCCCCCAAGGGCGCAGTCTCGAAAGCAGCACAGCCCACTGGCATCAAGAAGCCATCGCGGGCCAACTCGACGCGTTCTATCCTCGAACAGAAGGACAAGAACCTTAACTCATCCGACCTGAAGAAGCGCCAAGCTAGCGGCAACGGTATCGCCGGTCAGCCAGCCAAGAAGCGCGTCCAAGTCACCAAGCCCGTCAAGGAAGAGAAAGAGGAAGACATTGAGGAGGTCGATGAAGAAGAGGAGGAAGAGGCTGAGAACGTCAAGCCTGAGGAGAACGTCACTGAGGACACCAAGCCAGTTAACGGCACAAAGAAGGAGGTCGAGGCACCCATCACAGAGGTCTTCTACGATGGCCCAGATCTAGACAAGGAGGATGTCGATGACCCATTGATGGTCTCCGAGTATGTTGTTGAGATCTTCGAGTACTTGAAGGAGCTGGAGATTGCTACCATGGCCAACCCAGACTACATGGAAAGCCAGACTGAGCTGGAGTGGAAGATGCGAGGTATTCTCGTCGACTGGTTACTCGAAGTTCACACCCGTTTCCGCCTACTTCCCGAGACCCTCTTCCTCGCTGTCAACATCATCGACCGCTTCCTCTCCGCCAAGATCGTCCAGCTGGACCGTCTCCAGTTGGTTGGTGTCACCGCCATGTTCATTGCCTCCAAGTACGAAGAGGTCCTCTCGCCCCACGTTCAGAACTTCCGCCATGTCGCCGACGATGGCTTCACCGAAGAGGAAATTCTGAGCGCGGAGCGCTTTGTCCTTGCTGCTCTCAACTACGACTTGAGCTACCCGAACCCCATGAACTTCCTTCGCCGGATATCAAAGGCCGACAACTACGACATCCAGACCCGCACACTGGGCAAGTACCTCCTCGAGATTGGCTGCCTGGACCATCGTTTCCTCGCCCACCCCCCAAGCCAGGTTGCTGCCGCTGCTATGTACCTTGCTCGTCTCGTCCTCGAGCGTGGCCCTTGGGTAAGTGATCATACCTTCTATACTGCAATCTCCCACTAACATCCACAGGATAACACCCTCACACACTACGCCGGCTACTCTGAGGAGGAGATCCAGCCTGTCCTGCAGCTCATGATCGACTACCTCTCTGGACCCGTCGTGCACGAGGCTTTCTTTAAGAAGTATGCTAGCAAGAAGTTCTTGAAGGGTATGTCACACCACACTCTGTTCTCTGGAAACCCAACTAACATCCACCAGCATCAATTGTTCTTCGCAAGTGGGCTAAGGACTACGTTGCGGCTTACGGTAACCCGCTTCAAGAAGAAGAAGAAGAAGAGGCTGCCGTTGTTCCTTCCAAGACCAAGAGCCAGCGCTAAGACGTTGGTGTTCTTTAGGCACTCCCGGTCTTTGGCTTAGGAGTCGCAAAGCTGTTCATTACCGCCATGCTTCAATAGCAGCGGTTGACGAAGTTCGGTTCCGACCGGGAGCAAAAATTTACGATTGCATCCAAGCCAACCCTTCATGTTTACATCTTGGCTAATACCATCTTCCGGTCGGCGTTAATACATGGGATGCAAGTTGGTTGCACACTTCTTTTATGGTTTCTTGTCTTGTTTTGGAACATGGAGTCGCAGGCGTTCATCCCCCATGCACGGAGGCGCAAATCAAGGGTGCTTGCTTTTTCACATCACTCTTAACTTCATTTCTCCTTGTAGCGGCTCTGGATACTCGCTCATAGCATTAGCGATCGATATACCATGAATGGTGTGATATGGGAGAGGCTATTCCTTTGTGGATCTGCATGTGGTGTCGCGTGGGAATATGGTCATTGGGGTAGCAGATGTGAGATAGCTCTCAGTGTATGAGTAGTCTGAAAGCGCACTGTTTCGCGTCAAATGAAGCAGAAATTCCATAAATGTCATCCAGAACTTCAACCAAACATCAATGAGCGAATCCCTTTGGCCTGACGTGACTATACACGATGATGGCATAGCTAGCCATCCTCCCAGCCATCTCGCGTCAGGCCCACACCAGACACGAGACGCATCGCGTGCGCGTCTGGATCCCGAAAACCACACGATACGTCACCACCGTGTCTTTCAAAAAAACGCCACCTTTCCTGGTTTTCGCGTGCGCGTCCTGTCGCCAACACGCCACGCTCTCGCTTCACGATCGCGATGCCGATGTGCGACGTGCTTAGCCGCATGTCGCGTTCCTTGCGATCAACGTACCTCGGCTCCTCACGTCAGTATCGACGCTAACTTGGATTCGGAGCTCGAATCAAGTGCTGAATGCACAGCGACCACAGCTCCGGCTGTCGATCAATCATCAATACGGGGAAACCTTGATCGCAGTTTTCATCTCATTCTCCAAGCCGAATTAGATTGAGCAGGAGTATCGTGGTTCGCGACTCAGTACTCATCGGACGCACACGCACCCGGGCATCTGTGTCACACCTGCGTGTTTACATACATCACAGCAATCATCATCGAATAACAGCAACATCGCCGTCAACGACCAATCATGCAAGAAACGGACCTCCACTATCCACCCGAAACTTGTCCGTTTTGCAACATTGCAGCCGCTTTTCCATTTTCAGCTCCCTCTTCGTCAAATAGTCCTACACTATGGACAAGTAGAAGTAAAAGCCACGAGTCCTACCTAGACTGTGTACCTAAAGACGACGAAAGCGACCCGGAGAAGACCAATCCGAGTAGTTTTGTTGTCCTGAGGAGCAAGGATGTTGTTGCTTTTCTTGACATCTTACCCATGACTGGCGGTAAGTTTCATGTTCATGTCGTTATACTCTTCGCATGGAAACTATATGTGATGGAAACAGAGATTTGAGGATTTTATGAGTTGGCGGACAATAGCTGACATGTACCAGGACATCTACTAGTCACTACTCGACAGCACAAAGTCAAAGTTGCAGACATGGAACCCGTGGAGAGTAGAGAGATTGGTAAGTTGCCTAATGGGCATTACTATGTGACAAGATCAGTATACTCATTGAGTGACTAGGCTTCTGGCTACCAGTGTTAGCAAGGACAGTGGCCAAGGTTACAGGTGTAACAGATTACAACATTGTGCAGAATAACGGTAAGTCGCTTTCCACCTCTGTCTCGCTTTTACATTCCTTCCGGAGATACACGTACTGGGACTACGTTACACATTGGCCGTCTCTTCATCGTCTAACACGGTCGTAGGAGCGCGTGCCGCACAAGTGGTACCACATGTGCATTTCCACATCATACCGCGTCCAGAGACAATGCCAGAGATCAAAAACAAGAGCTGGACAATGTTTGGGCGGGGTCAAAGAGATGATTTGGATGACGAAGAGGGCGCCAAGATGGCAGGCGAAATGCGGAGGGTTCTAAGAGAGGAGGTAGAGAAGATGAGTGGTACGAGTGCGAAGTTATGAGAGGGACGGGTCAAGCTGTTGTTTTCTGCGGATTTGGGCCCTATTCGATTCATTCAGGTCACAAAGGTCACTGGGCGCTACGTTACAGTACATGGTTGATATTCAGTATTATCGACTTTAATAAACACAACAATTATCAAGGACGCTGGGTATCATCACTTTGTAGCCGTCCGTTCCGTCAATCAGCAACATTAGGTAGTGCCCACCAAAAACATTCGCATATCCTGAACTCGTATCTCATTCCTTGGCAACACAAGAGCTTACTGGCTCTTCTTTACCTTCTTTTCGTCCGCAGGCACGAATCTCTTTTGAACAGCCTTTATCATCTGCGAAAACCAGTAAAAGTTGAGCATACTCAAAGCTGTGTTACCAACCAAGTAAACGCAAACCAGCCACATGGGTAGCTCGCCTACGGCCAGACCTCCAGGCCCCTCGAGACCCATACTGCTGTTTGCGGCTCCGTCGCTCTTCTGGGCCTCGAGCAGAGAGCTCATAAGCTCTGATTTAGGCATTGTGAGCGCCTTGTAGATGTCCGAGTAGATCATGATAGATTGATACGATCCCCACACGATGCGACAGCAGAAGAACATGACAAGCAGAGCGATGCCGTTGTAGAGCTGGAGCTTTGAGCCTGTCATGTTGAGCTTGTCGCAAAACCAGTGGATGTTGAGGAAAGGAGTAGAGAGTTCGTAGAGGACGAAGGAGAGACCGTAGTAGTTTCCGAAGGGTTTCTGGAAGGTAGTCAGCATGTGTGACACATTTGTAAGCGCACAACTTACGAAACCAATACAGGTGACTGCCAAAGCGCCGATGGCGTGGATCAACGAGCTTACTCCAGCAATGTGGATGTACTGGGCAGAGATCTGAAGGTCCCACAGGAAGTATCCAGCAGCGAATCCCTGAACCATGCCGCTAGCTGGCGTATAACCCCAGAGTCTACCCCTCCAGTCCATCTCGTGTCTCTGTTCATCCTTGAAAATGACCCACAGCGCAGCGGCGCATACGAAGACAGCCTGGATCATGGAGACCCAGTGGATGTCCCAGTTGAGTCGCGTGCGCTTGTTGAAGCCATTGTATACCTTGGGACAGACAAGCTGCGAAATGGTCGGGGAAAGGACATGGAGGATGAAATGGTAACCCAAGAAGCCGAGGAGGATCTCGTGGACATGGTACGGAAGTGTTGTCAGGCTCAGCTTGTCGGCGAATGACTTGCTAGCCTGCACGAGCAGTGAAGGTGGAGGAATAGGATCCCGCATATTGGGTCTGGTTAAGATGTCGACTAGAGACATGGTATCAGTTTCGCTATGCGCCGCAGTAGCAAGAGTAAGGATGGAGAGGATTACTGGAGTCGCAGGGCTACATTCTCCGCCTATATATACTCATCTGTGGGGCGCAGTGATCTGACCGAGAAAGTTTCCTCTTGTGTAGGGAGTGTCTCGTGTGTCCTACACTGCATGCTTCGGATGGGCGTTTTGCTTGATCCCTGAGTCGTCACATGCGGGGCTGACGGACCTGAACATCGAAGCTTGAGCAGCTACCCTGAACGCGCTAGGCGGGAATTTGCCGGCGTCCTGCATGCACCACTCCGCGCCTCTATCGATCCTCCGCCATCGTCATCCGTCTCCTCCATCACGACGCTCAATCTGCCACAACGGCCGTAACGACACTTCTCTCGACACAGAGGCCCTATACATCTCGCCCAGCGCTGTGTAGGTTCATCCGCGCCCTCCGAAAGAGCATGGCGGCATTAGAGGGCTTGCCCTTCAGAAAGACTAACGAAACATGGCGTCTTCAACAGCAACAGCGCCTGTCATCACTCGCAGAGCCCTGAACGCTCTCCAGGCAACCGCCCTTGTTGTCGCTGGCACCGGCACCGGAACATCATCGCCGCCGTAGCGCCTTCTGCATTTGTCCCGCAGCACACCTCACCGCCCAACTTTTCTGCCGCCGACATCTCAAGCTTCACGTCAACAAGCATACATCACACGATACGCCGACGTCTACACCCGTCTCTGTACGTCTTGACGAGGCCGAAAAACTCCACCCTGGCGCTTGCAAAGCTTCCGGTAGCGATCCTCTAGTATACAATGGGCGAGCTCGACGACTTCATGGACCAGGCAGGGGGCCGTCCGTCTGCTTCGGACACTCCATCTGCTACAGATCCCTCCGCGACCGAAAACACCAAGAAGCGCAAGAACGTGAAGGAGCCCGAGGCCAACAAGAAGCCCAAGGTTATGGAGAACAAGGCTATTTGGATCTCCAACCTGCCTCTTGATACCACGAAGAAGGAGCTCGAGGACGAGTGCTCGAGGTACGGCATCATTGACAAGGGCGCCAACGGCGAGCCGCGCATCTACATGTACGAAACCGACGGCGTCTTCAATGGTACTGCCATGGTTGTATACTTCAAGAAAGAGGCTATTGCCAATGCGATCAGGCTGATGGACGACTTCCCTCTCCGCCCAGGCGATAACTCCAACGGCAACATCCACGTCGAGGCAGCTAAGATTGAGCACAAGAAAGAGAGAGACGGCGAGAAGATCGCATCCAAGCTTACGCGCAAGGATAGGAAAGCGTCTGAGCGCAATCGCGCTGAGCTAAACCAGTAAGTTCGCAAGTCTGCAGACTTCTGTATCGTCACTGACAAATCCACAGGAAGCTCAACGAGTGGTCCGACAACGAAGATTACGTCGCCGAGACCTTGGCGCCCAAAAAGAACAAATGGGCTAAAGTCGTCATCATCAGGAACATCTTTGATTTGGAGCAGCTCGAAGAGGACGCGGGCGCATATCTGGAGATCAAGGAGGACATGCGCGAGGCAGCGGAGCAGTACGGTGAGGTCACCAACTGCACTCTATACGACAGGGAGCCCGAGGGCGTCGTCACAGTCCGCTTCCGCGAGTTCGAGCCTGCTGAGAATTTCGTTGCCGGCTTCCAGGGCAGGAGATATAACCACCGTGGTCTCCAACTTTCGCTCGCAGAAGACAAGCCCAAGTTCAAGAAGTCTGGCCGTTCCGATACACCAGACAGTGACGATGAGGCTCCAGCGACGGCGGCCAAAGCCAAAGCCTAACTATTTGTTACTTCCAGTCGCGCATACATTCCGCCACCGCTTCGGGCAGGAGTAGGATGTGGAGCAAAGGATCGTTGCCCAGAAAACGATATATTTCTTCATTTTATTACGTATACAGCTATAGGTAGCTAAGGCACTTGAGCTGGGAAAGATACCCTCATCAATATGAGTATAATGGCATTCGGCTGCGACTGAAAAGTCCACCAACCTCATCAACTATCACTCTGATCATGACAGGTGATGTTGTACGGGCCAGTATCCGCTCGTCGCTTTGTGTAGCAAGTCAAACAGCTGGAGTGTGTGTACCTAGATGCACTATACCTGAAGACTTGTCAAAGGTAACAAGGCAAGCAGAAAGAATCTTGCAAAACTGTGACATTTCCACATCTATACCATTATCAAACTACATTATCGAAGAAGCGACCCCGTGAATATGACCCTATACACATGCGAAAGGTTCCCAAATATTAACCCTCCCGTGTCTCTGACGAAGAAAGCGATGAGTCGGTCTTGCGACCCACCTGGTATCAAATGACAATCATGAAAAAAAACAAAAGAAAACGCCATAATGCACCTGCTGTCCAGCTTTCTTTCCCGTCTAAGCATCAACATTGCTCATCTACAAGACAAGTGCGGCGGCAGCTGCGGCGAGCAGAGCACCAGCGCCACCGGCAATCTTAGCGGCGCCGGCGGTGAACTCAGCTGGGGCTGATGAGGATGCTGCGCTGGGAGTGATGGGCAGACCAGCAGTTGGTGAGGCAGCGATAGTGGTGGCGTTGTAGAGGGGCATGCCTGAGGACTGAGCGAAGCCAGAAGAGGTGTTGGTGGGGGGCATCATAGGGTAGCCAGTAGACAGTGGGGGAGCGGCGTAGCCTGTGGATGAAGAAGCGGCGTAGCCTGCGGATGAAGGAGCGGCGCCGTAGCCTGTGGATGAAGGAGCGGCGCCGTAGCCTGAAGATTCGGGCGCATAGGAAGACGCCGGGGGAGCGCCGTAGCCATTAGTACCAGCGTCGATCATGGTGAAGTTGGCACAGCCGATACGAGTCTTGTTGCTGAGATGAACGACGAAGGACAAGGCGCCAAACTGGGATATATTAGCATGTTGCTCTTCTGTTACATTGTATGATCAAGACGTACGAAGGCAGGGTCTGAAGGCAGAGTAGCAGAGTACAAGTCAGTGTACTCGGCCGAGAAAGTCTGCTCAGTAGCATTTCCGTACTTTCCGCTCAAGTCACCAGTTTGGCATGTCTCGGGCTTGCTGGCATCGCAACCGGGAACCTCGCCGCGCATGTACGGGTCCAAGTGAGCGCCAGTGCCAGTGCAGTTTCCATCAGCGGGAACCGGCTTGGCGTGAAGGTGGTACATGAAGGGACCGCCAGTCTCGGGGAGGCCAGCGAACGAAACGGAGAACTTGACGCCCTTGCCATCGGCGCCAGTAGTGGCCTCGATAGAACCAGTGAGGGTGCTGCCCTCCTTGGGAGGAAGAGTACCAACGTACTTGGCGCCGATAGGGTTACCGGTCACTACGGGAGCGGGAATGACAGTCGAGGACTGAGCGGCGACAGCGGAGGCCGCGGCCAAGACGGAGATGACTGAGACAAGCATTTTGATTATGGAGGTTGTCCTTGTGTAAAGAATGGGGTTGAGATTCGACTGTGAGGATTGTTTAGCGAGTGACGGTGTGAGAGCGGGGTGGACAAGTAAAGTAGAGAAGTGAGTGTTTTGCAGAGATGAAGTGGGCGTGCCAAGTGTGTTTATATGAGGAGCGGCGCAATTGAGGTGGAAGAGGGGAAAGCGCGATGTGAACCTTGTGACAAAGGCAAACGAACGGAAACTTCCAGATGCAAACACGGTTGCACGGGCAGTGATGGGAAAGAAAGCGCAAACGGGTCGAGGGACTACATACCGAATATTATAGCGAATGCTGACAAGCAAAGTGGAGAGAGAACTGTTGTATGCAAACGATGAACGGTAGGAAAAACCAGTGAAGGGATAGCTTGCAAAGGGATGATTCCTCAGGACATGCGGCGGCTGGCAAACACTATATAATTTTCCTGCCTGCTGGGTAGAGGCGCAGTCAGGCACCGGTGGTTGGGGCGTCACACATCGAAAGCCGTCACAAATTCATCAACGCGCCTTCCCGAAGACGACTACCAGAAGAAGATCCACCCTGCGCGCCGTCACTTCCATTGTAACCCACTACAAACCCTCTTCAGCCGATTCATGCCCGGCTGATTGGCCGCTGGGAACAGAGGCAGTGTGCGTTATTGCTTGAAACCATGTGTTGTTTGCCGTAAATGCACTAGAGGACGCACGCCCGCTTCGCCGTTTCGAAACACCAAGACGCATGGGCGCTTTGCCGGCCAATCATTGTGGGGGCGGGCCTTGTTCCTGAGGCCAGGGCTGAGCCCTGGTGTGGAGTTTGTAAGACTTGGCCCCAGCCAACTCAGTTTTCGGTATGCGCCAACGCCGAGGTGCAGTGCGTCGACGAGGTCGGAATTTCAGAGTCATACTTCCAGGCCAACCGAAGCTGCAGGCAGTTCAAGTGTTTCTGTCGTATAGTCGCTTGTTGATGCACATGTTCTGAGGCAAGGGTCTCGAATGTCGCAGATGTTGCTTTTGCCGCCAACGTACCAAGCTTTGACTACTGCAGCGCTAGTCGGGTCTAATAGCCTTGGTACAGATCCAAATTTACCCCATACAATGACATGGCGCTTGCATGTTGCACCTTTTCCGGTAGCCGCGCCCTAAGGAAACAAACATTCCACACAAAACTCTCGCCGTCGCGCTTACTTGACGCAAATAGACCAAACATGCGTTCCTGAGGCGGGTGTAGCAGAAGATTTATTCTGTGTTTTACTGAGGCATTCTGAGGCACGGTTTCCACGAGCCCCGATTGACAAGACTGTATGACACGGCAAAGACGGGTGTGAGAAGAAATGACGGATGGGGAGCGGGAATCAGAGGAAATTGACAGAAGCGGGTGAATCGAGAAAAGACAGGGTTGCGCATCTAACTGAGGCAGAGTTATATGGAAGCATGGAGATTACAGCTCCATCTTGACCCCGCGCGCACATTGCACAAGACTTTCAGGAGCCGTCTCTTCTGCCGCGCCGCTTCCCTACGGGTCAGCATCTGTCCTGTGGAAGTCGATCCGTGAGACGTTTGCACAGTTTATTGCTGTGTCGGCAGATCCACCTCTACCGATAAAACATTGCCTCAACATGTCTCATTTCTGACCTTGTAGCTGATCCTAGATCGACACCAGCCGACAACTTGCGCTGCATCGGCATCGACTAGATCTTGACTAACAGCCTGAACGTCTTTGTATGCGTCTGGAGCTTCTTCAAAAACAAGGTCTTTTTCGTCACAGATGACCCACGTGCCTTGCAAGTCTGTCAACCATGGCTCCAGGATGTTTTGGCCTTTGTACTTCTGTGCCAATGCCGACAGTGCCTTTGCCCTAGACATGGCGCGTCCTGCACCGTGGGCAAGCGAAAGTCCGTTCTTCAGACCCCATGCGTTGGAGGTTGAGAACGTTGGCTGCAGAATGAGCGTCGGTGTGCCTCTGGATCCGGGCAGTGGAAGAAGGCTGAGCGGTAACTGAATCTTCGGATCGTACGTTGGTGCTGCACCTTTCCTGTGGATGTACACACAATCACAAGGAACAATATTGTAGATACTAGAGGCGTATTTTCCAGCTGACCAAAGTTCTGATGGAGGCCATGCGATACGCTCAACGTTGTTGTGCCAGATGTCGATCATCCTGCATTTCCTCAGTGCAGTTTTGGCAACTGCGATCATCTCGATGCCTTCTCGTCCAATGCGCTAGCACCCGAGCTGCCCAAAGTCCAATCTTCATTGCCAGGTTCAAGGCATGCAAGAAATTGCAAGGCGATTAGATCTCTACTTGCTTTTGCACACTCACAGGCCTGGTTATGCTCTTCCATGTATCCGATTGTATCTGCACTACCCTCTTCGAAGCTAGTGCGCGTCTCTGTCATACACTTCTTAAGGATGTTGCCTCCCAGTCCTTGAGAGCCCGAGTGTACTAGGAGAACGACGTTGTCTTGTTGCAGACTATTGTCTATGTTGGCAAGTGATGAAGCTTCAACAACCTGGACTTCGGCAAAGTGGTTCCCGGCTCCTATGGTACCCAATGCAGCATCCCATTGCTCACCAGCAGAATGGCTGTGTTCTCACTCGTCCAGTAGCCATGCTTCTCGGTACGCTTGGATCCGCCATACTCCCTCTAGCCCTCGAAGCTTCTCGGCGACTTTCTTGCCCTTGTCTCCATCAGCCTTACGTCGAGACAACGTAGTCTTGTACCAAGCCATACTGCACCCAATCTTGCCACCGATCAGAGGATGACGGATCCATCTCTTCGAAGCAAAGACGGTGCTAATGGGAAACTTGGTGCCAGGTGGAGATCAGGTTGGCCGACAGCGTGGACGATACCTGGAAGTGTATGGGCAGTAGTAGTAAGCCGAGACACAGAGAGCGAATCGGCGGGTGCTTTGGAGGCTAGAGCTAGAGCTTCAACTGGACATTATGGGTTTACGCCTGCTGTTATATCTAGGTAGGGGGTCGGTGACTGATGGTTACACCGAGGTGGGAAGTGCGAGTATTAAGCGCAAACTTGCTCAAACTTTATGTTACTTACCATGCCCGTTTGGTTCTTTGTTAGCACCAATATGTTCTTCTCCCGCTGAGATGAGCAATATGACATCGCTCTTGACATTGGTCTTCCAGTCTGCCTCTGTCAATACTTCTTGTCCAGTACCCCCGACAAAGACAGTAGTAGGCTTCTTCAGGCGTAGTTGCGATTGTGCATACTTGGAGACAAGTCCTCGAATAGACGAAGCAGCTGCAAGATCATTCGATGCAGAAGCTGGTATGATGACTGATGCCCTTTGCGATTGCCTGGCGTTCAGAGCAATGGTCACACGTAGCAGGCATGTTTGTATGGCGGTTGGACCTCGGCGTCTGATGGGGTGATATGGGGTGATGTGAGAATGGTTTGAACTAAGAGTTAATTGCTGATGCAGCGAAAACATGACAGTAAACGATCTCAACGCAGAAGTGACAATTCTCTATTTGTGCAGCCCATTCATAGATGCCTCCACTAGTGCGATGCTGCTCATTTCGACTCATTTTGGACTACTAGAATATAGCCACGACACCTCTCACCACAAAAAAGCGATAGCTCAGGCGATGCTAAACTTGTCAAACAGTCGTTGTAATGTTTCGTTCTTGTACTTTCATCATGGCGCTGAAGGTGTGTGTGAATGTTTCACGTGATTGCATCTAGCCAGCTTAGCATCCGAGTTATGGGTGGGATGGTGATATTAAACACACGTCGAAACTTTGGTAAGCGGTGTGAGGTCCAAAGCAGGGCCAAAGTCAAAAGGCAGAAGATCATCAGGGCCCGCATACCCGCATCGCGGGCCTCAGTGAGAACGTGCAACATGCATGACGTATTACAGTCCGATTGGACGGTTAGACCGCGTTGCCGTTACAACGCAGCTGGCTTGGCAGCATAGCACAGCCGCACCGACTTTCATGCCCACGACACCTCGACACTTGACAGCCCATAGCACCGAACCATCGATTGCGTCTTGTGTCTATTAAGCGTGAGTTGGCAATTGGCGCACATCGGTCCCATACTCACACACCCATAGCCACCAGCCTCCCGAGGTCCCCTATATCGATAGCCGTCCCAACAATCAACCCGGCCCCGAACAACCTCACAACTCTCAGGCGCAAGCCGCGTACTCTCGTTCACGACCGACCAAGACGTCCCTATTCGGAAAATGCGCACATTCCTCGCTCCGCTCCTGCTTGCGCCGCTTGCAGCGCTCGCCGCACCAGATGTCTTCGCCGACTTCGAACCAGCCGTTGCGCCATTAGAGAACCCCGTATACGAGGCCATGGAGACATCTCCCGCAGGCAGCGGCGCCGAAGTCCTCAAGCGACAAAACAACAATGCATGCGCAACCCAATACTTCAACTGTGCTGGTCTCGGCGCCCCGGGACTCTGCTGCCCACGAACAGCCGTGTGCTCAGCCGACCAGGCCGGACATGTAGCATGCTGCCCCCAGGGCGCAGCATGCACAGGAGCAATTGGTGCCATTGCCACGGGCGCAAATCCCTCGGCCACATCCACCGTCTCCTTCGTAATCGCATCCACAACAGGCGACAGCCCCTTCGTGCAGGAAACAAATGGCGCAAACCACGGAAGCACGGTACAGAACCAATTCTACCCTTTTCCGTACATACCGACGACTTACTCCAACGCAGCTGCCTGCTCGTCCGCTTATACAAGCTGCCAAAGTGATGCTGCAAGCTGTACGACTGCTCTAGCCAACGGCGCGGCTGGCGTCACTATATCGGCACCCAACGGCGCCGGTGCCACCATTACCGCAATTCCGAGTGTGGGCCTCCAGTCTGCTCAGAGCATCTGCTCGAGCTTGAGCAGTCTGGGATGTTCGCAGCTTACTGTCGAGGCTTGTGCGGCTTTTGACGGTCAAGGAAACGCAGGCATGAGAGCCCGCTGTGCCGATTACCTCATGACAGCAGGTGTTGCTGTCGGCATCGCAGGACAGCTTTTGAGATGAGCAAGAGATGTATTCGGGGCTTCGTTTCTTTGTCGATAATATGGTCGATGTTTACGTTAATGAGACGAAAATACGATATGTGCTTTGGCACAGCCTTACTTTTGTGGCTCTTTGCCTTTACATGGCGTTCGTAAGGAGTTAAATAGGCATGGCATGCGGCCGATACCTATGTCTGCTTGCATTTGTATATGCCTTCAATGAGATTATATAAATTTTTCCGATTCTAAATTGTTACACTGCCTCTGATCCTTTTCCGTATTAGATCAACGTCCCGGTCAAGCTTACAGACCACGTCTTGCATCGTCTCTACTCTGATATCGGCACGTCATAACTCAACACTCTCGCCTGCGAACTTGTAAAGAGGACACGTTGAGAATAAAAAGGAGCCGGAGTTGACCAGATGATAAGATGAAGACGAATAGGGGTTCGGTTCAACGTGAATGACAATAGTGATGAACTGACAATTTGGAGTTCGCCCTCAACATACATCTAAAGCAAGTATGTGTGTATTGGAAGTATAACAGCTCATATCTTCTCGCAACATCTACAACCCATCTTCTTCACACACACACCCCAAGCTCAAGCAAAAAAGAAGATGTCTTGAACGCAGCTAGACTCGAACTAGCATCTCCCACATTAACCACGCTGCGGCTTCTCGCCAACTGCGTCCTGCCCGTGGTCCTTTCGGTCCAATCAGCGCAAGCACTACTTAGTAGAGGGTTCATGGAGTGGGCGTCTTAACCCTTGGACTATGCGTTCTCGCTTTGGCTTGGTTTGATCAATGGATATATGGATAGTTGGAGGAACTATATAGACATATGTGGAGTGAGACTTGGGTATGATAGGCAAGACAAGAGACAACATATCATGATATGTAAGTGAATGGGAGAAAGAGATGAGAACTTCAAAAATGCTTGAATTTCTTGATTCGTAAAGCGAGTGTCGTCGTTATAGTAAAGCATAACTTTCAATGGCATCCATAGAGGAAAACCGGGTATCAAGATCGTACAAAGTGAAGGCCGACGGGTCCCTTCCTCTCTTCTCCTCTGGATATACATTCCATCGTCGTGTCATAAAGAGCGTAACAGAAAAAACAAAAATTTACCACTCAAATCTGCCCATCTTTCCTGCTCAAGAAGGTGCGCAACTTACACACGGTCATGCGACTCAACCCCTCTCGTGGCAACAGCATCAATCGCCTCGAAACTGCTCCTCGGACTCGCCTCCCCAATATCCTTACCAAACTCCTTCTGCCTGAGTTCCCAACTCCCAACCCTTTCATGCCCCCTCTTATGGTCTCCACCAAAGCTAACGATACCTGATGTAGCAGTAGCTGGCGGTACCGCGTTTCTCGACAGACTAACATCAGGATCTGATGCCAACTTTGCAGATCCTTTGAAGCCACCGAACTCTGATTTCGGACTGTGACCAAGACGTTGTTCGACCCGATGGAAGCGGATGCCAGCGAGTAACATGGCGAGTGCGAAGAATAGACCGGCTACGACGAGAGAAACAACCGCGCCGATGACGCCTCCAACGACAGGGGAAATGGCATCCTTCTTCGGTCGTTCTTGTGGTGTGGGAACTACAAGCGTTACACCGCTTCCATCGGCGCCGATACAGAAAAGACTTGGACTGCTGCAGCTTTTGCACCAGTCACTCAATCCTTGCATGCCGATAGTGCTCAGTATAGTGTAGAATTCCCCATACGGCATGTCTGTCATCGACCTCCCGCTGTTGAACATGGAGTATGACCGGAGTGGCTCGTTGTCAGAGTCTGTTCCATTGTGGAAATAGAAGCGTACCCAGAGGTCGTTGGGATCACTGGGCATCTCCGCGCTATCGCCTGTACTGAAAAGCTCAAAGATCATGGCTGAGCCGTAAGGGGGAATGGATTTGAAGCCGGGTGATTGGGAGTCGAGCATCATGAGTGACATGAGGCTCACCATGGCGTCCTGTTCGCCAAAGAAGAAGGTAAGCGGGCTGGGCTTGTTGGTCTGCCCAGCGTTGTTAATCAAATTCTCGCTGTCTGTCTTTTCTGGGAGGAGTTGGTTGAATGAGTGAAGGATTGAGCCTGCGAGTGTTTTGCCACCGATAGCTCGGTCGTCGGAGTCTGCAGTAGATGCGGAAGTGTTTCCGTAGAGATACCAGGCTACTTCGTCGGCATTGTATCGCAGTTTGTCATATACACCTGCATAGTCGGAGTCGTTTGCCAAGGCTTTGTAGATGCTAGAGTTGTGCGCGTATTGGTATGACAGGTAATCTGCGAGTTCAAGTGCGAAGGTGTAAGACAAGTCATCTTGCTCGGCGAAGCCTTCAAACCAATCCACTTTCAGCTTCTTGTATAGATCTTCGTTGGCTCCCTTCGCCGCCTTGAACTCTGGAGTAGTGAAATACTTCAGTCCGTCTGCCTGTCCTTGAGGGCAAGATAATGTTCCAGATACGAGTCTCGAGTACGGGTCATTGGGGCTGGCAGCGTGAACGCTAGCATACTGATATCCATTGAGCGGGTAGTCGACAGAAGTGCCATCTGCGAGCACTTCCGTTGCATTGCTAGCTTCCCGTGGTGGGTAGAGCCCCTGCATGAACGCTTGGGCAGACGATACGAGGTACGGCGTATCCAACGTTTGAACCCAAATCTGATCGTTGTCCAGAACGTCCTTTGACACACCCGCGATGGATCCGGCACCAGTGACATATTTTGATCTGAGCTTCTGCCCTAGCGCATGCATTTGGGTTGCGCCGACAGTGGTGAGGATCTGGGTATCATTGCGTAGAATAGGTGTTCTCTCTCCCGTTCGAACAAAAGCGAAAGCAGCGTGTGTATGTTCCGAGTCCGAACTCTGAGCAGCAGCAAGGCAGGCAGAAGCTGCTGCGGCGACGATGGTGCGCGTGAACATTGCAAAAGGTTGTTGGTGTGGTACCTCAACACCGAGACGGTGACGATGTTGCTTGCTGGTGAGATAGAATACCAACGATAAGGCTGAACCCACTGGATCCTGGGATCACATCTGTACTTATTCCCTGCGGCAGCTTGCATGCAACTAGAAACCCATGCTTATTTCAAGGCAGCAGCAAGGCACCTTACCCGCCAGTACGAAGAAGCGAGCAGTCCGTGGCCCCCAATAGCGATAGCGGCTGAACGCCTGACGAGAAAGTGGCGCGGACAAACTCACGATTCAATACGCGCCGCTGCATGTATGAGAGGGGCATTACAGAAACCGAAGCCTTACTCAACAGCTATAGCATGTCGATGTTCGCCTTGAGCCAAAGATTGCGAGCGGACACACATCCGTGGGAATACATCATCACTGGATCATCGATGCGTGAACCAAGATGTTGTAATTCCTTAATTGTACGGCATCCGTAACAGCCGGATTCAACCACACCATGGTGGATACCAAGACAAGAAGTTTTGGCGCATCGAATGATGCCAAAATCGACGAGGTGGCTGGGAGCTGACAGCGGGAGCCCAGGCCCTATCGTGACTTTGTCCTTTCGCACGAATGTGTTGGCCGCTATACCATGTGCAGTTAGCCCATAGCTTTTGCTAACGCTTCTCGTGGTCGTCACCGGGAAACCGGTGAGCGGGACACGGCACGTTCAGGTACAGTGTAGAGCATGGGATTCTTCCGTGTTGTTTCGGTGGGTCAATGGAAGAATAAGAGACGGCTACCTACATCCAGGTTGTCTTTCGTACGAGTGGATTTAATTCTCACCTACTCCGGGCGACCTAATGTTCCAGAGCTCATTCTTTCAAGTTAGATGTTGAATGAAAATCGAAGCGAGCCGAGGAACGCTATTTTGCTTGTTCAAACAACCGCCGTAGATGACGCTAAAGATAGATCACCACACTACGTTAGACCGCCCACGGGCTGGAAAAAGTCGCTGCCGACGCATCCGTATCAACTTGAATCTATGAGATATTGCACGCGGAAAATGAATTGCTTGTTCGTTTGACATTAAATAATATATGTCCGCCAACAGCGGGCGGGTATTGCTACAGTGGCCCTAGGATGCTGTGGGAGGCCTTCGTCTACCACGCTCAAAACGCCAGTTTGGGTCCGCCATCAAGCGACTAGAACCGGATATACCCTTGCCTTTTCCAAACATGACTCTACAAGCTGACCTCAACACGGCCCTCAGCACCCGGCGCACCACCAGCCTGCAGCGAAGGCAGGAGGTAAGTGATGTCGTCCCAGGGATGCCTGTAGAGACCAGTACGCAGCCTCTTCTGGTCAAGGAAATGGGCAATCAGACCGATACTTCGGCCAAGGACGAAGAGACCGTTGAGGACACCCATCTTCAGGTAGTCCTCGGCCTCCTCTTGGGTGAAGGCACCACCGTTGCGTACAAGATCGACGAAGCAGACAGCGATGCAACCGTCAACGTTGAGAATCAAGTTGTCCTTCTTAGATGTTGTGACCGACTCGACAGCCAGCGCGTAGTCGAGCAGCTTGGTGCTGGGGAAGTTCTTCTTGACGTACTCCTTGACGAGCTCGACACGGAGATCGGGGTTGTTACGCGACTTGATCCTGTGACCAATACCGGGGACTGAGATGTGTTAGCTGCTGCGCAAATGAAACTTTTTCCTCAGGCAACTTACTGAGCTTGTTCTCCTTCCTCATGGTGTCAACGAAGTCACGAGGGCTGAGACCCTTGTCGAAGGCCTTGCTGAACTCCTCAGCGGCACCGTCGAGCGCACCACCGAAACGCGAACCAATGGTCAAAAGACCAGAGACCAACGCACTGATAAGATCCTTACCAGCACGGGTGGTGATAATGGTGTTCATGGCACCAGACACAGCTGGACCGTGATCGGCAGTCAACATAAGGACCATCTCAAGGAAACGGCTAGCGTAGTTGGGCAGGCGGCGACGGAACCACAGCAGTGACATGACACCACCGATGCCAATCTCCTCCCGGAAGACATCGGAGATGGGCATACCGGCGTACAGAAGCTCTTGGCCACGGTCGTCAGAGATGGTGGAAATGAAAGCAGCAGGCTTTCGGATGAGACCAAGCTCCTGCGCCCATGAGTAGTCAATGGGGATCTTGGGCACAACGGGCTCAGGCTTGGGCTTGATGGTGCCGTCCTTGACGAGCTTCTGGTAGACCTGGGCAAGAGTGCCGGGCATCTCCTCGAAGGTCTCTGGCACGTAGATGCCAGATTCCCTCATGGTCTTGTTCTTGGTCGCCGCAGTCTCAAGCTGAGAGTTGGCGAAAGAACCAGCGTGACCGAATTGAACCTCGGTCTTGAGCATACCAGCAACGGTACCGATGGCCCAGGCAACAATGGGCTTGGTAACCTGGCCAGACTTGACAGCCTCAATGACGCGGTATTCCTCGACACCACCAACCTCACCGAGCAGCACAATGATCTTGCAGTCGGGGTCGGCCTGGTATCGGAGAACGTGGTCGATGAAAGTGGTACCGGGGTACCTGTCACCACCAATAGCGACACCCTCGAGCACACCATCGGTAGTGTTTGCGATGATGTTGTTCAGCTCGTTAGACATACCACCGGACTTGGAGACGTAGGAGACGGAACCGGGGCGGTAAAGCTTGGAAGCAACAATGTTGTCCATCATACCACCAGTGTTACCGATCTTGAACGCACCGGGCCTGATACCTCCGACGGTAGCGGGACCGATGATGGTGATGCCCTTCTTCTGGGCAACGTGGAGGATCTCACGGGCACGGCGCTCAGGTACACCCTCAGCGATGATGGCAATGCACTTGATTTGAGGGAACTCCATGAGCTCCATGGTGGACTGATAGACTGAGCGCGACGAGGCGAAGTTGACAACAGTGTCAACATCGTTGTGCTTGCCGACGGCCTTCTCTACGTTCTGGTAGACGGGCAGCAGAGTTTCGCTGGTTCCCCAGTACCTGCGTATTGTCAGTCGAGCGTTCTCAGGGGCTAGAGCATTTGCCGGGCACAAACATTTTGCTGACGAATTGACCGCCGAATGTGTAGATGATACCGGCGACGGAAGGCTGCTTGCGCTTGCAAATGAAGTCGAAGTCAAGCATACCCTGAACGGCACGGGGCTGCAGTCCGCTGTTCACATTTGTTAGAGCCCTGCTCTCCTTGTATTGTAGTCGCGGGGGGGTCTCTTACTAGACGAAGCATCGTGTCTTGGGGTGGAAGAGTGTGTGGGCGGCCGGTGGTGACATTGGCCGGCTGGGGGCAGCGAAACGACGGATGTTGTCGTTTGCTGAGAGGCCCTCGCCGGTCGAGGTAGCCGCCTGCGAGGGGACGTCTGCGGAAGGCATGGTGGCCGTGTGTGCGTCAGTTGTCGATCTGAGGCTTCAATTTATTCTGGAAGGGCAGAAATGTCAGTCTGAAGTCCAAATTGGCCGACGTTGATGTCGGTCGGGGGATATATGGTTGGCTGACGTGAGGGTTCGGTCTGCGTGGAAAAAATGCTTCGGAGCTGTTGGGGCAGGCACGCGAGAGCGGGCAAGGTGGGATGGAGCTCAACAACGTCGTCCCAGTCGGGGCTCGGGGACTACTCACCTTATGGATGCAATGCCGTGTCGTTGGCAAAGCAGAGATGCTTGGATGGATGAGGAGAAGGTTGCGAAGAGGGAAATGCGATTCTTTCCGAAGATTGGGCCCTTACTTTTGGCGGTGTTGAGCTGGAGAGTGATGTCCCCTGCACGAACTAGATCCGTGTGGCGCTAACCCCAAGTCCCGAGCGGTGAACGGGGACCCGAATGTCTTGCACCGCCAGTTCGCACCTCGGAATGGGGGTAATGGTAATAGATGCAGCCTCAATGCGTGCAATAGTCACACTTTGGGTCCTGCTATCGCGGAATATGTGTCGGAATCGCCTCTCTTCGGCTCGTTGATGGCTCGTCGTGGGTTGTGTAGGCCATCCGCAGCTCATGTACCCCTGGTGGGGTGGCCTCGCTGTGATAGGCCCGTCGTGCGCCGAGTGCCTTAGCCCTGCATCTGCTGCCCGCCCTCATTGCTCAACACGCAGAAAAAACATCAGACCGCTTTCTCAAGCTCCTTTCCAAGCCGTCTGACAACTCAAGTCTTGCCAGCAATTCCTCTTAATCCTCTTACAGACCGTGTGTCAAGCCTCAACAAATACAGGTACGTCTCACCACCCCGGCCTGCCATTTTGCATCTTCTTGTGCCGGCCCCCTCATCACCTTCTCCGAACATCTTCGTCTCCGGACATCGCATAAGGCCCCGTAACCATTGCCGAGACTGTCGTCGGGATTGATCCTGCGAGTTTCTTGAATCTTTCTGCTGCCCATTGCCTCCACGCGAGCCGCTCTTCTTGACATTGCAATACTCATCCTTCACAGTTTGACCAAACACCACAATGTCAGCCAAGTCTATCCTCGAGGCCGACGGCAAGGCCATCCTCAACTACCACCTCACCCGCGCTCCCGTTATCAAGCCCACTCCTCTTCCCCCGTCGGCCACACACAACCCCCCCTCCAAGCTCGCATCGCTGCACTTCGCCGCTGATGAGGACGTCAAGGGCGTGCTCGACCAGGCCGAGGCCACATACCCATGGCTCCTCACTCCCGGATCCAAGTTCGTCGCAAAGCCAGACCAACTGATCAAGAGGCGAGGCAAGAGCGGTCTGCTCGCGCTGAACAAGACCTGGGCTGAGGCGAGGGAATGGATCGAGGCGAGGGCAGGAAAGGAGCAGCGCGTCGAGACTGTCGATGGTGTACTGAGGCAGTTCTTGGTCGAGCCCTTCGTTCCCCACCCCCAGGACACCGAGTACTACATCAACATCAACTCTGTGCGAGAGGTATGTTCATTTCCACCTATTTCTGTAATCTTTTCTTCATGTCGTTTCGGGCGAGCGCGTCGTCTGGCGCATGCGAAAGCGTGCAAAAGGCATATTCGTGTGCTCTGAGCGGCAGGCTGCAGCTAAGTGCGGGCGGAGCGGGAAGTTGGCTCAAACTCGCGGGCGCACTGCCTGGTTTTGTTTGAAGGCCGGCCGGACGAAGGGAACGATGACCGACCCACTTCTGCAGAGCACCTACTCTTCTGCGATACGCACGTCCACTTTCACATGCCAATGTGGCTGCATTTTTTTGCGCTTTGCGCCGCTACCTATGCATCGTCAATCTCCGGGCCCATGGTGTTGCGGCTCTACTTAGCCATCGGCTACTGCGCGATCTTGCCAATCATTCGCCGATCTCACCGCTAACTTTGCCGCTTAGGGTGACTGGATCCTCTTCACCCACGAGGGTGGTGTCGATGTCGGTGATGTCGATGAGAAGGCTGAGAAGCTTCTCATTCCTGTCGATCTGAAGGAATACCCCTCAAACGAGGAGATTGCCGCTACTCTTTTGAAGAAGGTTCCCGAGGGTGTACACAACGTCCTCGTTGACTTCATCTCAAGGTTATACGCCGTCTACGTTGACTGCCAGTTCACGTGAGTTGTCTCGATACGTCTTCACCTTTCCAGTGCTGATGCAACCATAGCTACCTTGAGATTAACCCTCTCGTTGTCATCCCCAACGAGGAGAAGACTTCTGCTGAGGTTCACTTCCTGGATCTTGCTGCCAAGCTTGACCAAACTGCTGAGTTCGAGTGCGGTGCCAAGTGGGCTATTGCCCGCAGCGCGACAGCTCTTGGCATACCAGCTGCTCCCCAAAAGGATGCTAAGCAGACTATCGATGTCGGCCCACCGATGGAGTTCCCCGCTCCTTTCGGTCGTGAGATGAGCAAGGAGGAGGCGTACATTGCCGAGATGGACGCTAAGACTGGTGCTTCCCTCAAGCTGACTATCCTCAACTCCGTCGGCCGTGTCTGGACACTCGTCGCTGGTGGTGGTGCTTCCGTCGTCTACGCCGACGCTATCGCCTCTGCTGGCTTCGCTAGTGAGCTCGCCAACTACGGTGAGTACTCTGGTGCTCCTACCGAGACTCAGACCTTCCACTACGCCCGTACCGTCCTCGACCTCATGCTCCGTGCTCCCCAACACCCAGATGGCAAGGTTCTCTTCATCGGTGGAGGTATTGCCAACTTCACCAACGTTGCCTCAACATTCAAGGGTGTCATCCGCGCCCTGAGGGAAGTCGCCCCCCTTCTCATCGAGCACAACGTCCAGATCTGGATCCGTCGTGCCGGTCCTAACTACCAGGAGGGTCTCAAGAACATCAAGGGTGTCGGCCAGGAGCTCGGCCTCAACATGCACGTCTACGGTCCCGAGATGCACGTCTCAGGTATCGTGCCGCTTGCTCTTATCCCCGGTAAGACTAGCGACGTTAAGGAATTCTCTGGTTAAGCGTGTGCTTTGTATATTAGGGTCGCGGGTGTAGATTGGGACTGCTTACGGCTCATGGCTAGACAAAGAGTTTAACGTTGAGAGCTATGCATGGAATGAGTGTTCGACGAACCCATTACCTCGCCTGCCTTGCTTACGCATATGGCTAGCGAGGAAGGAATATAACATTTAATACTTCCATATGATTGCGCTGTTCTTGTGCCTGGGTTTGAGTCGAGGTGAGGTGAGGCTTCCTGTTGTTGTTGATGGTGGTACACTGTCGCTCCTCCCCTTGGGGAAGGCACGACCAGCGACCTCACCTCCCCACAATACCGCAACTGCAACCGCGCAACCGCGCGTTCCCTGGACTCTGGTTTAGAAATGCAAACTAAATCACGCTCTGCTTGCCGCAGAAGATACATCTGAAGTATTGCTCTCGATATAATACATATTATTTCCCGCTCGTCCATCACAGAACAAGAACCCTCAGGCAACACAAACCCAGCAACAACCAAAAGTCCCGCATGTTCTGATGGTAGACTTCCTGAAGAACGTTGCAGACTAAGTGCTTCCGCGAAGTAAGACAAGTTTCAGAGGCCTCTGATGCGTACTGCAGTACCAAAACCGCAGGGACATGGGTTCGAGCATCGATTCTTACTCATGTTCTTGATATAAGGATATAGCATAACAGCTTGGTCACGATCCGAGCGTTGTGTTTCCTTCATCCTCATACTACAACCTTCAGCAGAAAGGGTGGTTATAGGAAGATTCCTTGAGGCGTGAGTTCGTGCAACAGCAGAACTTACAATTTGAGATCTCAAGACTACATCCACACAAAGATGTTGAGAGAAGATGTTGACTTGTGGTTATGGGCTAATGGGTTGGTTGTTCTATCTTTTTGCCTGGTTCTACTTGATATTATTGCGGATAACTTAACCCAGGAGTGCTGACCACTACCAGAGGTTGCAGACGAGAGACAACCGGCCATAGCGTTATCATGTTGCCGAAGGTATCATGGCGCCTGAAACATAGTTATGAGACTAGACTAAAAGGGCAGCGTAGGTGTGACCGTGAAAGAAACGCGGAAGATTTTCGTATTTATATGCCAAATGTATCGAGAGCCTCCCTAAGTCGACTACCTTGCGCCCCTCTCACGTAATGACTACATTACATCGCATCCTATTGCATTCGAACAATTTTCGGAAGGCCCTCATCGCATCCGACTATCTTTGCTCGTAACATCCGTGGAAAATGATTATTTGGCCCTTCTCCTTGAGGACAAACAAGGAAGCTGGTCCGCCTGTGCTCACACTCACCTTTCTACACAAAGTCTCTAAGAATTGACAAGACGAGAGGCAAGAGTGGTCACTGTCCATCCAGCAGGATAAGAAACTCAACAGGGAACATTTCCGTTTCCTCAAGGTATTCCATCATTATTGGATTCTAGTATCCGTTTCCAGCAGAGTGGTCTCGTTACAGAACACAATTGCTAATCCAGGTGTGCAGTTTCGTTTTCTGGCATGATCATAAATTTGGCGCAGAGGCCAGCCGTTCCGAGCAGGGCGGCCGCATTGTCACCAAGAATGCTGAAAGTCTCCGCAAGAAGCATGGAATTTGCTAAAGGAGGGGAAAGCGAGCGGCCAAAGACTGCTGATAACACTCAACATGCAATCACTTCACACAACTTGCCGATATTCGCACACTCGATCGTTGTTTATACTCTTGTTAGCCGCGCTTCTACCGTTGTCTGCACCATTGACGTGTTATCGCAAAGAAGGTCTCTGTATAGGAAGCTTTTACTTCTTGCTACCGCAAATCTCATCAAACATGTAAGCTCCGTATATGCATGAATATATCTTCTCCTTTTTACCATCGCAGAGTAAGGTGACCAGCACCTACACTCCTGTGACAACTCGTTGACTTATATCATCCTCCGCATCCACTCGTCCATGACATCAAATAGCGCACCCAACCGAACTCCATCCTCATCTTCTCCCGCAGTCAATACCTTGACCACATTTCTCTTTCGACCATGCCTCAATGTAAGTTCTCTCAATGGCGGCATAGAAACCAACATGTCCCTCCACGACCCCTCCTTCGCCCCCATGACCTTCTCGTTCTTAATCCAAACATTAAAATCCATAACCACGGGATGGAAAACAATCTCCTGACTGGTCCGTATAAGGCCCAAGCATCTCCTCATTAGGCTGATCTCATTGCGTACGCCGACGGAAAAACGCGTTCCAGAAGGCTGGAATCCATCCTCTATGCTTTGCGGCGTAATCTCGAGCTCAAGGTCAAAAGTAGTAGGGACCATATTATATATTTGTAACCCACGGGACGGCTTCAAGTAGAGCATTTCCGCTAGTAAAGGAGAGTCACCAGGGATGAGTTGCCGCCACACGTTGCATACGCGCTTGGCACGAAGCAAATCCCAGAAATCGAGGTGGATGAATATGGTCTGGAGTACTTCGGCGGGGAGGTCTGTCATACCCTTTCTTTGTCCGTTTCCGTGGTGTGTGGTGGATGTTCTGTCGAACATTTGGCGTACACGGTCTGCGTAGTTGCCTATGCTGCTGCGGCGACTGTCTCGCGACATCTCAGAGTCCCAGGAGCGCATTGATGAGGCGTCTGCGTCTACGGGCAGAGCTGTGATGGAAGGATTGCGGATGGAGTGGCCGGATGCGCTTTGTTTGCGCCGATTAGTCGTGTCCTTGAGCATATCGGAGAAGCGCGTAAAGGCAGAGAAATGGGATTGATGCTGAAGATCCATCATGGTTCCTGACTGTTTGGCTGTAGCTGTTGTTGTGACTTGGAGTTCAGCTTCTGCTTGGGGGGTTGATGTAGCTTCCTTCCAGTGCTGCCCTGAGCGCTTTGATACGAGATATAATTAGATCTCAGCCGCGATGACGATGCGGGGTGATGATGTGTAACGTAGTCTCCAGTGCAGGTTTGTATCTCTTGTGTCCTAGCGATACTTTACTGGTGAGAAACTCTCTTTGATTGTATAGGAAGCGGTGTGAATAGCATCGATCGAGAAACTGGGAAGTAACGACGTGGAACCGCAGCTGACAGGTCATTTCCACTAGCCTGTTGTGGCTTACATGGCACGGGAACCACATGGGGAGGCCGGCAAAAAGCAACTAAGACATATGCCACATGGGAGGATCGGCATTGTTTGCTTGATGGCTTGCGATGCGTATCAGGGAAGGTGAGGTTGACGGTCTGTTCTCATGATACGCTACAAGGGTACAGTTCCACTATTCTGGCCGATGTTGACCATTGAACATACATCATGGCGCCGTCTTCCCGTGTGTAAGACCACATGCCCACAGATTGCGATTGTTTCAAGATGGTATGTTGCGTTGTATTGATCTACGGTTACATGGCTTTACAAACCAATATTCTTATTCTTGAAAAATTATCTCTCAACGCGACAACAGAGCACTGCAGTACGTATGGAGCGGCGCAAAGCACGCTCGTCTTGAGACGACTATTGTGCCAAATCTCCCGAAGATCCTCTAGGATCCCTCTTGGCTTACTCGTGGACGTGATAAGCCTGGTCTGGCACGAAGTCTCTAAAAGTGCCCACCGAGTCCGTGATTGAAGGTCAATGCATGTTACCCATGCATCACGCTCTCTTCAGCCGACCTCAATCGCAGCCAATGCGCCGATGACTTCTTCGGCAACTCCTCCGTTTTCCACCACCATCTTTGTGACTTGCGATATTAGTCCTCTCTTCATGCCGCCTCGGGGTGGTGTCCAAACGCCCGAGGTCGCCAGCAGTTCGCGTTGAGTGAGCGCGTCGGCACTGGAGGTGGGAGCTGTACCGCCGGTGGCTGAGTTCATCGAGTTGGGCACGCCGGGTGGAGTAAGATGGGACGGGGGGTCGATGGTGCGTATCGAGACGATGCGCGCGCCTGTGGATGATGTTGTTGAGTTTGTGCATGCGATGGCAAGGACTGCGTCTGCTACTGCGAGTTCCTCCTTGGCCGGGTCAAAGATGATGTTTGATCCTACTGCCATGGCAATAATGATGACTGGAGGCTTCCCTAGCTGGGTAGCAGTCTTGTTTGTTCCAGCCTGCTTGGGGTATAGAGACACGGCGGCATCCCAGTCGTCGTTGAACAGTGGGTCTTCGTCCCTTTCCGACTTGAGAGCTGGTAGGAGCGTGGTGAGCAGGGCGAGATGGGTGGTCATGGACAGCAGGGCGAGCGGGTAGGAGAGTGGGGGTGACAGCAGCAGGATGTCGACGTAGAGCTTCCAGTGGAAGCGTGTATTGATGTACAGTCGGTCCTTTAGCTCTCCACTGGCAAGCAAGCTCTCGGTGAGCATGGAAGACAGAAACACAGGCAGCGCGTCGTCTTCACGGAAGCCTGGGACCTCGACGCTCATCTCGACCCACGCGTTCTGGCCCTTGCCCTTGGTGTCGTCCGTCTCTTGGCTGTCGCCCATGTCTACGTCCTCTGGCTCTCCCAGGGTCGGGCGCTGGCGTGACCTCTCCACCTCGGCCTTGACGCCGACGAGGGCCTCGGTGCCATCCTCGAGGGCGATGCGCGCACTCCCGTTTGCGGTGGGCAGTACGTCATACTCGGCGCGCATGGAGCGAAAGTCGCGGGGCCCTTTGGTGACATCGAGGCGGATGGGCGGCGTCTGGGAGAGGGTGGAGCGCAGGAACGACAGCTCAGCCGGCGAGAGGTTGACGAGGGCCTGCTGAGGCGCCATGGTGGTTGGGTAGTGGTGCGGCTAACGGGACGGCGACGAGGTGTTTGCTGCTCTCAAGTTTCTTGCGCATTTGTTTCGACGGGCGAACTAGCGGCCCCGGCGATTCGGCTGCAGCGTCACTCCCTTGCAGCCCTGGCGCAAGCTACTTCGCGCGACAACACCAACCTGCAGTCCAAGTGCCGTCCGCTGACCGCTGGTCCTCGGGACGCATTATCTGGGGAATCAATACGTCGGTGTCGCCTGTAGTTTGCCTTCTTTCTGATATATATTCCCAAGTGCACGTTATGAGAGTTTAATCCAGCCACCCGTCCCTTCGTCACACGTACCGACCGCTGCCGCCAATGTCACCCCCGTCCTCTAAGCGGAACAGCGGCAATGGCAATGGCATCACCACCATCGACAAGCTCGACTACCCACCACCAAACTCGCCCCGTCGCCTCCTCCTAGCCCCCGACAGCGACACCGACTCGCAGCGACGCAGCCAGGACACGAGTTACGCCGGCAGCTTCTTTGAGCAGGTCGCCGAAGGCATCTACGAGCAGGACCGCGTCAAGATGCAGCGCGCCGTGCTACGATGGCTGAGCTTCGCGTGGGCCATCGTCATCTGCCTATGCGCTGGTAGCATCACCGCCTTCTCCCTGTACGGTCATTTGTTCCAGTCCAAGCTGCACTACACCCAAGTCCAGGTCAACATAGTTTCCATCGGCGCCGAGCTCGGCCTCTACCTCCTCGTCCCCATCTTCGGATACCTCTGCGATCGCATGGGCCCTGGTGTGCCCGCCGCTCTTGCAGGTCTGCTCTTCGGCTCGGGATATCTGTTGGCTGCCTTCGCCTTTAAGAGCGGTCCTCCGCCCTCCGCCGGCGGTCATGGTTGGCCCCATGGCGTCATGGTCCTAGCCTTCGCCTTCGTCGGCATGGGCACAAGCTGCATGTACCTGGCTGCAGTAACAACATGTGCCAAGAACTTCGGGCGAGGGAGTGCAAAGGGCGTGGCTTTGGCAGTGCCCATCGCAGCCTTTGGACTGAGCGGCATGTGGCAAAGCCAGGTTGGAAGCCGACTGCTATACGTCAGGAACCCGGATGGTACCAAGGGGGACGTTGACGTGTTCCGCTTCTTCCTCTTCCTCGGCATTCTTCTGCTCTGCGTGGGCACCATCGGCTTTTTTGCCCTGCGCATCATGGACGAAGAGGAGATGATCGACGATGCAGTAGACGAGCTCGAGAGATCTGGTCTGCTGCAGCGTGACGAGTTCTTCACCCAGGCTGCGACCCATCACGGCTACGGAACCATGGAGACTCAGGACCTGTCCGACTCGACCTTTGACTTCCTGCAGTCCGAGGCTGAGCGTCTCAAGGCCAAAGCAGAAGAAGAGGCACGGAAGAAGACATGGCTGCTGAACGAGGAGACTCGTCGCTATGTCATGGACCCCACCATGTGGTGGCTCGCAGGAGGCTTCTTCCTCGTCACTGGACCCGGTGAAGCCTTCATCAACAATCTAGGCACCATTATCGAGACTCTCACACCCGCGCACGTTTCCACCAACACCTCGCCAGCAACCCATGTTTCTATCGTTGCCATCACCTCCACACTCGCTCGCTTGATCACCGGCACACTCTCTGATGTCCTCGCTCCGGTAGCTCCTTCGAACCAGCACCGCGTCGGACCAGATTCCGTTGCAAATTCCATGTCGTCTCTCCCACCTCTACAACAGCCACGCAAGAGGTTTACTATCTCGCGCATAAATTTCCTCTTGGCATTCGCTTTCATACTCTCCCTTGGTCAACTTCTCCTAGCGAGTGGATGGGTGCAGAACCACCCCTCTCGCTTTGCTGTTGTGTCTGCATTTATCGGTGCCGGTTACGGAGCCGTCTTCTCGCTGACACCCATTGTCGTCTCTGTAGTATGGGGCGTCGAGAACTTTGGTACAAACTGGGGCATTCTGGCCATGACACCTGCTGCAGGTGCCACCCTCTGGGGTGCTGTCTATGCCACTGTATATCAGAGAGCTGCAGAGAACGGCGAAGCCGGCGTTCAGAAGGACCCTGAGGATGTCCTTTGTCATGGAAAGGCTTGCTATGCGTCCACCTTCTGGGCCATGACCATAAGCGTATGGATTGCCATAGGCCTCTTCTTGTGGGCTTGGAGAGGCCCTGGTGGCTGGAAGAGGAGGGGCGTTGCTGTATGATACTCTTGTCTTTCTTTTGCATGGCGAAGGGTGTTTGTGTTTTTGTTGATATGAAGCGTTATTGCATTGGTCCCATATTGCTCTGATGGCGTTGCATACTCCTCCTTCCTATCTATATCAATGCCATACTTGAATACTATTTTGACAGCTCTAAATATGACAAAATCAATCGTGCATTTATATCAGGACTAGAGATATTCAAAAGAGTGAACAGAACAAGCAAAGTCGCGGAAGCTTAGGTGGTTGGCAGCAGTGGTGGTAGCAGCTGGTGAGGCGCAAGGTGGGCAAAAAAGGTCAGTTAGGAAACAAAAAGATGCAAAATGTAAGTCAACACACCAGCCCGCCGATCGACTTCCAACCCCAATAGGAGTAATCCGGCGCCGCCGTTCCATGGTGGATACCCGATTGCGGAATTGCTTCCCTCATCAAGTTGTATCCATTGCTTAGGTCCCTCCAGCATCACTGGTTACCCAAGTGAGTGGATTAAAGGACACCACAGAACTCGAACCGGGCTCCTGCTGAAGTATAGACAGGAAGTTGAGCGGGGATGACGGAGCGCTTTCTTACGAAGACCCGTTACAGGTGGCAAATTTTCAAATTACATGCTTTATATAGTCTTTGCAAAAATTCAGGTGTCTGATCTCGACAGTCGCGTCCTACATGTCCTCGCGCTCGATGTTGTATGGAGTGGGGAACTTCCTGCAGCTAAAACGGGATTGCGGGGTAAGAACAACGCTGGTTAGAAGGACGTCTAATCCATGTCCTGACCGATAGGTGCATCACGACCGCAACACAGATTTAAGCAGCCGTCAATATGATATCACATTGTAATAATTCTTATATACTACACTAACCCAAGTCACCACAAATGTGTGGGTATCTATGTATCGTACGCCTCCCAGTGCAAAAACCACGCTTAGTGACACCTCACGCCTTGAGGATATGCAATAGCTTCCTAATCTCACTTCGCACTTCATCACAACCCAAACGCTTTCCTTCATCACCTTGAACCATGTCGCTGATCAACTGTTGCACATCGGCACCCACATCGCCTAAGCCTTGCGCGAAGCCACCTGGAAAGACTCCGCGACGAAGCTCCACCAAAGCTGCTATACGCTCCATACGCGTGCTGAACTTCTGCACCATCTCAAATGCTACTACGCCAAGTGCAAAAATGTCAAGTTTCTCGTTGATGCCACTACTTGCATGTGGACGGTAGAATTCTGTGCCCACTGGTTTGAAGGTATCCGATGCAGTACAGCTGTCGCTCAATGCCGCCACAAGCCCAAAGTCTCCGATGCGTGGCGTTAGGTGCAAGCAGTCACGCTTTGGGCAAGACTTGCAGCTTGAAACGTCGACGGAGCCATATGGGGGATACCGCGCCCTTGAGAGCGATAAGAAGACGTTTGCTGGTTTGAGGTCGCGATGGACTACACCCTGTGCATGCAGATACTCGACTCCGGAAGCAACATTGTCCAGTAGCTCCAGTGATACGCAAGGATGGAAACAATGCTGTTCAACTGCCTGTGTGTTGGGGGAGTAGTCAGATGAGAGGAACGCGGCAAGGTTGGTCTCGCAAAGGCTCATCTGCACGTTCAGTGTAAGGACTGGTCCGAGGCTCTGGTTCTGAATCAGATGGTGGGGCGCATCGCTGTTAGATATCATACTGTCCGACATCTCTGACAGTAGCTCTGGTGAATACGGCATGTGTGACCTCGGTATGTTTTCAACGTCATCCTCCTCGTCTTCATCAACGTCCTCGACTGCGCTCATCCGGGACTTCGTCGATGATATTGTAGCGATCGTGGTTTGACTTGCTTGGCTGCCCCGACGCTTTGTGCGTCTGGTCTGCTTTAGTGTTTCTTTGTAAGACGAAATGATGGTCTCGCTCTTTGTTTCGTTCAATTGTGGTTCAGACTCGCTGAACTCGAATATGATTCCGGCGCTGTTGCTGTTCTCGGTTCTCGCGAAGGGATCTTCAACTGACATGCTTTCTAGCTTGGAGTTCAGGTCGCCAGATCCATGCGAGAAGGACGGAAATGCGGGTCGGTTATCCAAAAGGTGATCCTCTCGTAATACTGTGACTTCTGGTACAGTCGCAGTCTCTGTGTTTACTGTAGTGAATTCTAGCCAAGCGTTGTGATATCGAACGATATTGTTATGGTCGAACCGAGCCAGAGAACGAACTTCCTCAAGCATGCTTTCCAATTCTTCAGGCCCATGCTCTTGTATCCTTGCAACCTTGGAAGGGCTCACTGGTATCCTCTTTACGGCATAAAAAGAGCCGTCAAGTTTATGCTTGGCTTTGAAGACTTTTCCATATCCGCCCTTTCCCACAATCTCAAGTTCTGCAAACTCTCGGATATAGCGGTCCGTTTGAAGATGAGGATAGCCTCGCAGTTGTAGCTCTACAGGAGCTGACATACCAGACATTATATCAAAGCCAAGAGATGGCTGTTGAGGTAGAGGCGTGTGGACGCCAATCCCTGGGCGTGCAACGAGCGCCTGTGAGGATCCTTCAGGTATTACAGCAAGTTTGCTAAGGTTGCTTCGGGTCAACCGATGGATTCCCTGATTCGCGGTTGCTCGATGGCCTTGCATCTCGTCGCTTGCATACGCATCGTCCACATTGTTGGAGATCTGGCGGGCGATTTCTTTATAGGCAGCTCTACCCAATCGTTGGACTTCCGGATCGGAAGGATCTTTTCCTAGTTGCTCTGCAACTTGTCGGATAGTTCGCTCTTCCAGTAGAGAGTGTAGCAGCAAGTCGCGAACATTTTGCGCAGAGTTTTGGCGCAATTCTAGAGGAGGTCGGTGGGGCTGAAGAGGCTGCCGTCTCGAAGCAGCAGAATCCAGAGTCTGTATTCTTGATAGAACACTATCCTGATGTGATTCGCTCGCCTCTTCATACTCGCTTTCTTCATCAGAGGTCTCCGAGCTCGATGATGATGATGAATCGCCCGGTCTGCGAAACATAGACATCGCGAGCGGGAGGGGTTGTTGTGAGTCGACACAAGACCTATACAGACCAGCTGTTACCAAACAACGGTTTCCAGACCAATTGAAGGTCGCTCTATTGTTTGAAGATCTCCGGACGAAAAGACGCGACCGCGGTTATGCTCTTAAGACGCTTGTAACGGTATGTTGTCCGGTGTAGCTGCAGCGCCGAGTAAAGACCAACTCGATGCTAACAGCTGTACCAGCAAAGCACCCATGAGTACGCGTTGTCTAGGCAAGCATCGAGCGTCGTAGAATCTCATGGAAGTGAAACGTGTCTCCTGAATTGAAGACGGAGAACACAGTAGCAGTCACGTTTAGATCGGAAGGGCGCAAGCCCAAGCGAACCCTGGAGTGGGTCTGCCTGGCGGAACCGGTAGGCACAAGCGCGTCATTGCACGTGGCCAGGCGATCGTGAACAATTCACTTGCGTGCACGCGCTTCTCAATCACTTTAGCAGCTTTTGCGGAGTGATACCATTCTGTGTTGCTCTAGTGTTTCTCGAACATTATGTCGTGTTCTAATCGCTCCCTACACCCTCAAATTTCGCCAATACACGGCTGATTGATCAATCTTCCAGGCACCATGCCGCGTCAACTACCTTGGGCGAAGAAGAGTGGCGGAAGTCGGGCACAAATCAAACCAGCATCATCGCAGCAAACGACAAAGTCACACAATGCGACTGATACAGATGACGGTTTCTTCGACGACACGGTTCTGGCAAGCAGAACAGGAAGATCAGATGAGTCGGACGACGACCTTCCCGGGCTTCCAGCAGAACCATCAACGCCCCGAACTAAAGCCAGGGCCAAAGACGCACTGCGTAAGAAACGTGAAGGCTCATCGTCTCCGCCTCCAGTTAACGACCTCGAGCAGCCATTTGTGGAAGGCATGCATAGAGCTGCATCTAAGTTCGATTTGCGCGACGATGAATGGATGATGGTCGAAGATGAGTTTCTGGAGACGGCAAAGCTATTCACGCGACACTTGCATATCGCCGAATACGAGAGGCTCAAAGCGACCATCGAAGAGAAGAAAAAAGAAGCGGCCGACATTGCAAGACCAGTTGTTGCGAATACAAAAAGGTCGACTACTGGCGCTATGAAAGAGAAGGCCAGGGTTCAAGAATTGAAGCAGAAGAAGGCCATTCGTGATGTGTTTGCGTCCAAGGGAGAAGAAGAGGACAACAAGGAAGAGCAGACCATGCCATCTAGTCGAAGCAACCTTGTGTCTACATTTAGGTCCTTATCGAACAATGCTACGGTCGCATGTAAAGGAACACCCGGGACATTTGCAGCACAAGATAGCGATAACGACAGCGATGATTTGAATGCACCGCGCCTCTCAGCTAAGCCACCATGCAGAGCCACCACCACGCCAACCCTAGCCCGAAGGGGCAGCATAGTGGGAGGGCAAGATTCTGCCTCGCCTGATCCGAGGCCATCCAACCCTACCTTCGCTAAGCCTGCGCCACCTAAAGCCGTAGCAAAACCTCGCTCAAGATTGGGTCGCGCAACGCCCTTCGATATGCTTGATGACTGGGATCCGAAGAAGAGTAAAGCATCGTCACAGTCTTTGCTAGAGCAGCCTGCTAAGACACAAAATACATCGCGCTCACCATCTCTTAGCGGACACTCACAGCCACCTGCTCCTCTCAACGATAGAGGCGACGCTAAAGTGAGACGATCGACTATTTCGTTCGACGAAGACGTACCTATCAGGAATCACAGCAGTAATGATAGTGGCGGTGTCAGCAAGGAAACCACGGATCGTCTTGCAAAACGAAAAGCCCAGCGGGAGAAAGATGAGAAAGAGAGGAAGCGGAAAGCTGCAAAGTTGGATGACATACCCACGTTTTTGTTCTGAGTTGTTTGCCGTCATTAACAGATCTTGAGCTCGTCGCTGCTGTGTTGGGAAATTACTTTGAGAATATACTTGATACCCTTGGTTGCGAGTTTCTCTAGGCTGTTTGGGTACAAGGATGCTTGTCTTTTAATGATAGGATGCACCCCGAACATTAGACCATACCCTAAATCTATACACTGTTACTTTGTTGTTTGGCTTGTCATCATTTCATCATGTACACTCTCTAGGTTCATTGAGAAGGGATAGGCTTCTCCAGGACCCATCGTATTCGTTATTGTCATGAATCTCATACATTTTCATAAGTCTCATGTGTGCTACCCTAACGGGCACATGTATGGCTCCAAAAAGAGAGACATATGGTCTCAAGAGCGAGCCAACAAGTAGGGGCTTCTCCGACCCCAACAGCAGCTGTATCATCCGCCGCAGGAGCCTATCCGAACAACTTGTCCAAAACACGGTTGAAAGCATTGGTCTCTGGCTTCTCCACAAACGTACGATGGTACTCTTCGATCTCGGCGAGATCAGTCACAAGATCCGCTTCGTGTGCTGGAATCCACTTTGTTCTCTTAAGAAGCTTCCAGAATATGAAGAGGACGGGAAACGCGAACACCCTGTCCCATAGATCAGCACTTCGCCATATTGATGGTGGAGACAGCCACGAAGGTGAATACTTACATCAAGTACGAGAACAGGAACGAAGGTACATCCCACATTCCCTTCAAAAACACAGTATAACCTAGATGTGGGTGTAAGCATTAGTCTATGTCTCACATGCACTTCTTGTGTGGATAACTAACCTCCAACGAACGTCATAACGAAAGTCGTGACGAGGCCATACCATGCCGCGTAAGGCTGTGCCATACCTTTGTATGGCAGTGTGTCTCGGTCCAAACCCTGTACCTTACACGCCTTGTAGAACTTCAGGAAGGTAAAGCACATGACGCTGAAGTTGATAAGCTGGGACGCCGTTACCAAGCTGACGAACCAGTTTAACACAACAGCAGAGTTTTGGCCAAGCTGAAGGAATGAAAGGAGGGCAATCATGAGGACGAAGAGGACACAGTAGAAAGGCACACCTTGCTTTGTGCACTTTGTAAGAAATTTAGGTGCCTTTCCTTCCAAAGCAAGACCGAAAAGGGAACGAGATGCGCAGTAGACGTAGGAGTTTCCGGCGGAGAAGGCGGAGGCGAGGACACCAGCATTGACAACGTGAGGTAGGCCTTCGATACGGAGTCGGTTCATGGCGATGACGTAGGGTGAAGCTGCCGCACCTGGCTTGCCGTCACGGAAGGCGCCAATCAACTCTGGGTCGTTGAAAGGCACGTTGATACCCACGGCTAGCGAGCCGAGTACGAAGAAAGTGGTCAAACGGTAGAAGACGGCGTTGTAAGCGCGAGGCATGACTTTGCGTGGGTTCTCTGTCTCTCCTGCAGCCATAGAGACATAATCGGGTCCGGCAATTGTGAAAGAAGCCTGGATCAGGCACTGGAGGAAGCCTAGGAAGCGACCGAGCTGGCCTTCGTAGTAAAGTTCTGTGAAACTCCCCGGGTTCTTCCAGTAGCGGAATCCGTAGCGGTCTTTCTCAGGGTTGCCTCCCAACATGGAGATGAAGGTAAAGATGAGCAGGCCGATGATAAGAAGCACTTTACCGATGGCGGCCCAGAACTCCGTCTCACCGTACCATTTGACGGCCATCATGTTGATTACACTAGAATTTTGTCAGTACTTGGTTCAATTGCATTGCCTAGAGAACTACTAGAGGGCAAAAGCTGAGCACAATGCTTCACAGTTACTCTGAAGCAGGCGCCAAAAGCATGCAAAAGTCGGATTGTAGAAATGGAGTCGTCGACGTACGCGTAGAGCACGAGCACGATGGCGATGATGGCGCCTGTGGGCACTACATCAGACCAGAACCCGATAATGACATTGCAAGCCACGATTTCAAAAGGCACGAGAGCAGCTTCAAAAACGAAGAAGTTCCAGCCAGCAGCGAATCCAAACGCATCGTCCACGAATCTTCCAGCAAATCGAATGAAGGGCGAGGATATGGGGAGAAAAGTAACCATCTCTGCGATACCTGTGGAACTGCATTAGCTGTAGCTCGGCATCTTAGCGCGAGCGGTAAAGAAGGGTGCTTTGGGATATTGGATAAAGTGCTTGGGCTTTGTCGCTATGGGAAGGACTTGTCGCTTTGGAAATTGGGAGATGGAGAGTCTCACTGAGCGTCACAGCTAGAATGACAGTACACCTGTACAATATTAGCACTAGCTCGTCGCCGTAGACAACGCGATTGAGATTGCATACCATAGCGAGAATGCAAGGAACAGACTTCCAGGACCTCCATTCATCAAACCTCGACCAATCTGCACATATAGAGCTGTGCCAATAGTTCCTCCAATACCGATAAGCTGGATATGTCTGCTCTTGAGCTTTCGGTGCGTCTGGTCGGTAATTGCTCTCACAGACCCGACTGCACTAGGGCGGCGAGGGCCGTCATCGTAGTGGTTCTTCTCTTCATCGGCGGCAACGTAACCTGGGTTCTTCACCTCGTAAGGCCCACCGCCAGTTTCAAAGTCCTTGCCGTACGAGGTCATTGTAGTTCAAAGTCGTAAACCTCAAAGCTAGACTTCAGAGTATGGTTTTGAGAAGTAGAGCAAAATACTGCACTACGAAAGCCATGTACCAAGAATCAGGATATGGGGCTGTGTTCTTATGGGTTGTAAGCAAGGCTGATCGTCGTCGTGCGAGATAACAAACGGAGTTGCGGAGCGGGCTGTTAAATACCTCTCAGTTACTCTAGCGTGAGCAAGTGGAAACCCTGCATAGGCGGATTCCTCGTGGTGAACGCTGTAGATCGCGCTAGGCTGACTGGGCATTCGCAACTATCCCGCTTCTTTGAGGTTTGGGCTGAATGTTAGTGGAGGGCGAATTGCAGATGAGCGATTTGGCGTTTGCCATGGTGGGGCTGCGCCAGGCATATTCACATTTCCTCTGTCCTTCACTGGCCAAACGGCTGTTCATCTGGGGGAATATTCAGGGCTGGTGAATCCTTGTCTCGTGCGCCGCGTGTTGGGCAAAAGACCCGATAACGACGTTTTTGGTGCAGGGGTCGAGGTACCCGGCATCGCTAGCTGGACATTGTTGGTTAGGAGAGCCCCCATGCGGGGTCCTGCGTACACAATCAGCGCTGGCGCAGCCCACTGTACTCTCGAGACCGTGAATGCTTCGTATGATGCATCTAGCAGGCTCTTTCGCATGTCCAGCTCGCGCAATTCTTGCTATCGGGCCACATCGTCTTCCCTGTCGGCTTCTCCGAATCCTTCTCACCAGTTTTGTGGGACAAAACCCCTCCATCTCTTGAGTGTATCTTGGCCTGCGATTGTTCTCCAATGACCGAGCCCGCGTTGTTTTTCGAACGGCTGAAGCTACCTTGGCGTTTCTAGGCTGGTGGGTTGGCTCCAGGCTTGCTTCCTTGCCTCCGCTGTATGCCAGAGGCTTGTCTATACTTCGGAGGCGGCCACTAGCTCGGACCCAAGCCAACTTCTAGTCCTCACTTGACAGCCCCCCCGCTGCATCGAAAAGGACTAGAAGCTGCGTGCCGTAAATCGAGACTCTTGCTTGGTAGATACGTAAACTCGTGTGTCGCTTTCCTTGCCTATGGGGAATGACGATGTAATGCTGAAATGCTGCGATGTGACGCTACAGCGCCACGAGATAGCGTGTTGGCTGTCAGGTTGTCAGCCTTAGGTCGCTTGAGCCAGCCTCTTTCTTCATTTAAGACATAAGTCATGATACCTCTACCAAGCAAGCTTCAGCTTACCGGTGGATGTAGAAATAACGCACCCCACGCTGTCGCTGACTCTTGGCGGGAAGTCCTTGCTCATGCTTCGCCTCCCCGAACTACACAGGACGATAGCTTTCCATCTGCAGACCTTCCTACACCGATGTGTTGACAGTAAGGTTATTATGGAGGACGGTTGGCAGATACCATGCTTTGCTGATCTGTGAGTGCGAGTCGCGCATAGTAAAGCAGCGTATAGAGACTTCCTCCCATCATCCTACACGTTCGAAATACCGCGACCAAGAAATCCACAAAGCTTGGGATTACGTATACCGGACAGGCAACCAGGAACATCGCGTCTGCCATCACTTTCTGGCTTGTTCATATATCCTGCGCTTCTGCAGTACGGATCGTCGGGCGACCGGCCGTATGCTAACTCGGGGAACGGTGCGACATTGCGATACTGGACATCGCGACAGCGAAACTTTTGCATTCTGCAGGCGGGTCGCGACAAGTACTTGAGAAGTTGAAAACATGCATAGGCGCAAATACTATGACAACAGTCGGGGCAGCAGGTGCTTAAGAGCTTTGAAGTTATCTTGGGATCCAGAGCTGTGAGTGGCTACTTTGAGAGCATGCGGTTCGTAGCCCATGAGTCGAGGTTCCGTTGTAACAACCGACCTAAGGATTGAAACTTGTGGTGCGCATCGTGCTCGGGCGATGATTTGATGATTCTGAGGGCGTGTTTGGTGTTCATTACGGTGCTCCGGACACTTCAGTGGTTACGGATAGAGAAAGGAAGGCACGACGCAATGTAGTTGCACGATCTCGGCGAGCTGGTGACGGCCAAATGGCCACTTCGTGAAGAGATGGGGCATTCAAGAAGTAGGGGTTTGGTCATGAGGAAAAGCAGATTACGAATTAGTCATAATGTGGTCACTGGACCCTAGATATACATGTTAGAGGTACAGTTTATGAAACCCACCTCCCCCGATGGCGCCTTCGCTGAACTGATGCATGCTTGATAACCGATAGCGAGTGAATCGCTAGAGAGAGTCGCGACCGACAGGCTTCCGCTTGACAGAGGGACTTGATGAAACTTTCGGCAAATCTGCAGTAATGTCCTTCATGGTCATGAAATCCTCGTCCTCTGTACGCTCCAGCTCCCGGTTCAACTTCTCAACCGTCGTTACTTCTCCCAACCATCGCTCTCCAGTTTTGTGATCGAAATGCACTGGCTGAACCAGTCCTTGATAGCGCGACATATCTGCCAGCTTTGGTGGATAGATGATAGTCGTCTCCCTACGTTCGAAGCCCTCTTCGGTTATGTACGGCTTTCCCTCAATAATCTGCGGCTCCGTGCGCCATTCGAATGGAGTTGCTGGAAGGACTGGCTCCTTCTGGACTATGTCCCACCATCTGTTCTTACCAGTACGATTTGGCAACTCGTCGGCAGAAATCTCGATCAAGCCCTCTCCATCAGGATTGGGAATGAAGTGACGAGGGGGGAGGACCTCGGTCTGAAGAACCGGCTGTAGCCGGTGGTAGTATGTATAGTTGTGGATCTCGCGGTGGATGCGCTGCTGTATAACCTCGTGCTCATGTGGCTTGATAACTTCGTGTACAACGGCTATCGGTCTGTTAGACATATCGCAACCATTGAGTGGGACGGAGCTTACCTGGGGCGACGGTGACATCTTTATCCGTATCCACAGTATCTTTCAGATTCACAACACCTTCAAGCATAGCTTTCTGCTTCGTCTTCCAGTCATGACTACCGTCCATGCCATGTTGGTCCTTCGTAATTGCAAGACCTGGAACAGGCTTCACAGCCAGCGCATCATCCTCGGCAGACCCTCCCACCGGATGACCACTCTTCATCAGGCCATGGTTCTCATATGGAGAACTCTCTCTGTGCGATCGAAGGCTATCGTTGAAGCCGGCGTTGCTGACTTGGTGTCTGGAGGGTTCAGACGGTACTGCGCGTATTGTGCTGCCAGGGCCAGTACTATCGATCAGGTGTTTGGAGCGATCGACGCGATGATGACTTGAAGAATCTGCTACTACGTCAATGTTTTGTCACAATATTCTGACTGTTTTCTCTGGCGTACTTGGTGTGTCGGGAAGAGGCTTCAACCGCCCCGCATCAGTCGATGGTCTATATCGAAGATGTCTGTCTGGTACGTCTGCCTCGGCCATTGGGTCTTCTTCAGAAGCTAAAGCTGGAAGGTAAGATCTGTAATCATCCGCAATGGATCCATTGAGGTCCGTGTTCGGAGCTGCTGCCGCATGACTCGCTCGTCCGTCGTGGTAGGCAGAGTCCCGTGGTTGACTCCTCGTGTCCGAGTGAAAAGCATCGTTTGCGATTGCGGAATCTTGCTGGAGACGGCTGCGCGGTGATGCTGGGTGCTGCTGGGTGCGCGGACTAGTCTCCTCGGACTGTTCGTACGAGGCTCGAGGGGATTGCGTGGGCGTAGACTTCTTTCTCCTATGGAGAACGGACTTGAGCTTCTCTTCGATTTTTTCTTTCATGTCGGCGGTTCAAAATGCAGAGGAGTGACAAACGCAGGTGAAAGCTAGGTGCGACGCCGATCTATTGTCTGATTTCACGAAGCACGGTGACAAAAGTAAGGGTGAATGACCTCACAGCACCTGCAGGCAAACGAAACCTTCAGCACCGTCCGGCAAGAACGAAGCCGAAGCCTGGAGAGTGTGCATACAACTAGCTAGGATGCATATTTGGAGCTTCTGGAGTCTGGACATTTGAGCAAACGGTCCGCGAGAAATAATAGCTTCGCTGATGCCGTGTCACAGACGACGGAGCCAGTGCCTTGAGTCTTACACACGGCAACTTTGGAGTGCTCTCGCCCCGTGTTCGCGGCGTCCGCGGAGCGGTCTAGACTTGATCCTCTCGTAAAGCTCTCTTTCTCTCTACTCGACTGAGTCTACTCGAGCTGGTGGCATATTTTGATGCAGTTGGTTCACGACAACGGCACGAGTGGCGACTCAGCATGACGTATTCCGCGGTACTTGTGTTTCGCAGCGTACGGCTGGTTATTCGGAGTACCGGAGGCATGCATGATAAAAGCAAACTGCATTCATTGCCGCATCGGTATGTCACAGTGGAGATCAGAGCGGCATGACGACAGGGAGGGGGAGTCTGGTCGCGGGCGGCTCCACTGTTGATCAACTTAGCGTACCAAAACAATGGCGATCTTGCTAGCATGCTCCTAGTCGCAGCCAGGCCACCGGGACTTCCGAGACATCTGGAGGCGCAGACTTGGGTGTGACGGGGGTTGATGGAGTTGTTGATGAAGAAAACAGCATTGTGTGATTCCTGAGATGTGCTGAAGCTGTTCGCGGGAAGCTGCACGGACCCGGTGTCACCGAATGGCAGGAGCACGACCCTAGCGCCGATCCCTCCGATCACTTAGATGTCGGGTCGCTCCTCTCCAGATTGGTCCAGCACTTGAACATTTTGAGAAGTTCACCCAGAGAGTGTTGCGACGCTTTGAATCCTTCGTGATACCCAATTCCTGTTTGGACACGCAGCATGACTACATCATACCAACTAGGCTGCGGTAGGCGTGGAACGACAGCACCGGCTGCATCATAGTGCCAGTATGCATTGTCAAGCGTACCAGCATGGGGCGCCATGTTAAGCGCTACCCACTGAGCTAATGTCCCTGACGTACATCAGGTGTTTGTGGCGCGCTCCCGGCCAACCAATCGACTCTCCTGGGAGCATCGATCGAGACTCAGATAGCTTCAATCCACTGTTGCTGCCCCACGATGATGGCTTCCTGCCCTGTGAACAAGGAACGCAGTCAGCACCTGCCGACGTTACCTGGAACAGAACTCCTCCATTACGTCGACGTGCATTTGTCCTACTAGCGTCCTCTCTGTATAAGAAGGCAGTGAAGCAGCGCCTTGAGAGCATCATCATCACACCTACCACAACTCTTCCACACCTCACCAACAACCAATCCACCACCCACACCAAAACTACCACCCAACAAACAACCACTACACAATAATCAAAATGGACAAGGCCAAGGCAGCTATCACCGACTTCATGGGCCGCTCCGGTCACCACGACACCACTGTCCACGAGGCAGTTGCCCCCGCTGTTCAGCACGAGGTCATCAAGCCTCACGTACACGAGGAGATCAACACTGCCATTGACAAGGAGGTTCACCAGGACCACTACCACCGCACTGTCCAGCCCGTCCACGACCGTGAGGTCCTGCCAGAGCAACACACTGCTAAGCTCGGTGCTGTTCAGCACCGCGAGTTTGACCACCGCGATGCCGATGCCACTAAGAGGGCCTTGATCGACGACCAGGCTCGCTTTGCTGACGAGCGCCGCATTGAGGACACCACCCACAGCCAGAGTGTTGCCCCTACTGTTGGCGGAGAGCACGTGCACCACGTAAGTTGAGCAGCAACACGTCAATACCCCACCAAACACTGACGTCATTTAGCACATCCACGAGACTATCCAGCCCGTTGTTCAGAAGGAGACCATCCAGCCCAACGTTGTCCACACCACCGTCCCCATCCATGAGGTTCACCATAACAAGGCTACCCACCATGAGACTACTGCTCTCCCAGCCATGACCATGGAGCAGTTCAAGGCCAAGGGCGGTGCTCTCACCGGCCGCGAGGAGCGCTACGACGAGTTTGAGGGTGTCCCGAAGAACATCGGTGGCGCTGGTGGCATCGGCGCTGCTGCAGGTCTCGCCCACAAGACCACTTCCCACGGCCACGAGCACGCCCGTCACGGCGACTATGACGCTACCCCCAACCACCACAGCGATGCTGGCCTGAGGGAGGGAGGTCTTACTCACAACTCTACTACTACCGGTACACACAACCCCCTTGACCGCAACAACGACGGCAAGGTCAGCGCCAAGGACTTGACTGGTAGCCACTCCAACACCTCCCACACTGACCGTGGCGTTGCCGGCCAGGGCAACCTGACCGGCTCTTCCACTCAGGGAGGAGTTGTTGGCAGCGGTGTTGGTGACCGCAACCACGACGGCAAGATCGATAGCCAGGATCTCAGGGACCCTGCACGCAGCGGTAAGTAATTCTTCTCAACACAAGCAGGAAACATTATACTAATTCAGACCAGGCAACCACGGTGCTACAGGTACGAAAGACCCCAGTGGACACGTCGTGGGCGGTACCGACAAGGGCCATATGGAGCACCGTCCCAACGAGGATGGCAGCTTGCCCAAGGCCCTTACCGAGGACCGCTCAAAGGCCATCCCCCACTCCCAAGCATCCGAAGAGGAAGCGCGAAAACTAGAATCTGAACATGAGGCCAACAAGAAATAGGTCAACACAAGCCTTCGCTGATGGACAAGCTCAACCCTAGTAAGTGTCATGTTCACATTACTATTTGTTGACATCTACTAACCATTTCCACAGAGGTTGACGCCGATGGTGACGGCAAGGCCGGTTTCATGAAATAGATGCATTTCACTACGCACAATCACGACGACTGCATGCGAGATACCAAGGAAAGCTTTCCTATGACATTGTATAATTAGCCTAGTAATGAAGTAATCACTACAACCTTCAAAATAATGTCCTTCATTGTTCCATGATTCATGATGTTAAAGTGTCCTTTCACCTATAGGCTGCCACTGAAGAATTGATCTGTCAGTGGGTACAAGCACCACCCTTCCGCCTGACCAACCACCTAATTCTCCTCTCTCTTCAAAGTTGACTTCAAGCGTATCAACTGATGCTAACCCGGTTTCGTCGACCTGGCTACAGTCGTGGCTGTGACAGTCAGCATTGACACGTGTTGGAGTTTGATAGACCTACTACATCAAGCTAAGATGTGGCATGTATTGCTCTTCAGCCCAAGTCTTCGAGTTTGTTTCATCTTCAAACCCATTGACGTGGCTTCTACACTGTTGTGCTAGTTGTTTGATCCCTGCAGCCTTCGCACACTTGATGTACAACTTCCGGAAGAAGACATCTTCGCTGCCTAGACGTTCGAATTTGATCTGTATGCTCTGTCCAGATGGTAGATCGAGTGATTCAAGCCAGGCCTGAGGATCCGATCCATACTTGGACGGCGATATCTCTGAAGTCAGAGTCACATGAGGAAGGAAGCGGTGGGGTGAGTTGAACTGTTTAGATGTTTTGTCGATAAGGCGAGGAAGGACTTCGTTAAGGGGATGGTCTGCTGGCGGAAGCAGCCATAGAGACGAACCAGGCATCTTTAAATATTGTCTAGAATCTCAAAGGAGGATGCAATGTCAAGTCAAGCATTACATACTCTCGTAATGCCCCGCACGGTGGTTGGGCACTAACGCCACGTGGCTAGTGTCCGAGTCAGCCACATCCTGACGTCTGCAGCTGACTTGCATGTGAAAGTCCGCGTCAAGTCCGACAAGCGTTCCCACATGCTCAACGGCACTACATCTCCGCAAACGCGACGAATGAACATGCGACTATTGACACAGCGGCGCTATCAGCCGATCACTATCCGAAATAGCTCTACGCCATGAGTGAAGCGCTGAACGTCGTGTCGGGAGCGCTGTGGAGTTTCCTCCTGTGCTTCTTCGACGTGGCTTTCTTTTGGCAACGAGTGCGTCAGCTTCCCTTTGCTACTGAATGGCCATTCTGGGTCAATTACTACATCTTCGGATAGAATGCTGATATGTTGAAGAAACTATACGCGTGGTGGGTGCAGAAGAGCCAGAGAGATCTACTTCTGGAAGCTATCGGTGATGCGCGGCTATTCGAGGAATGGGAGGCGGCTGCGTATAAGCTCGATGAAGTGCTCGACTACGACATGTGGTAAGCAGACTTGCCGTTCAATTCTAAGTGGAAATACTCGCACCGGAAAATTGCTGATAACGACTGCATAGGCGACAGACCGCCATAAGCAAAGACTACGACCATCGCCTTATCCATCAACGTCTCTCCGCCATCTACGAAGCTCAAGAGGACAATGACATCCTTGGGCTTATCAACCTTCTTCGCAGCGGGCTCGTACGCAATCTCGGCAACATAACAGCGCCGAACCTGTACAATCGCGCATACGCCGGCACGAAGCTATTGATCGAAGACTATGTCACGCAAGTCGCATACGCCATCGAGAACCTCACCCAATACCCTACGTCGCGAAACTCGGATACTGGCTTAACAAACCAGGCAAAATTGGATGTTCTCCATGACACAAGGCAAGCGTTTGGTAGATCTGTGTTGGTGCTGCAGGGTGGACAGGTCTTCGGCATGTGTCATCTTGGTGTAGTAAAAGCGCTCCATCTGCGTGGGTTACTACCTAGAATCATAGCTGGGACTGCTACGGGTGCTTTGATAGCGGCACTGGTGGGTGTGCATACCGAAGATGAGCTATTGGAGTTCCTGACAGGCAACACGATTGACTTGACGGCATTCACAAACCGTCCCTACAGGAAGGGCGCTGGAGGAACCGCTTGGATAGGCACACTGATACGCCGCTTGAGGCGATGGTGGAAAGAAGGGCACTTTCTTGATGTTGGAGTCCTGGAAAATGTCCTGAGGGCAAACGTGGGAGACTTGACGTTTGAAGAGGCTTATACGAGGACGAAAAGAGTGCTGAATATCACCGTAACGACAGCTAGTGGTGGAGGAATACCGAACCTTCTGAACTACCTAACCGCTCCTAATGTCGTAAGTACTTAGCCCTCTCCATGTGTACAAGCAGAGAATAACTTTCCTAGCTTGTCTGGTCTGCAGCTCTTGCCTCCAACGCCACAGCCTCCTCGACCCTCTACCATTCCGTAACAATGATGTGCAAGGACGATGAAGGCAATATTGTCCCTTGGTCTCCAGCTTCAAAAACCACTTTCCGTCCCTACACACACGCCTCGTACCGAGACCGCGAGTCCCCCCTTCATCGCATCGGCGAGCTCTTCAACGTAAACCACTTCATCGTCTCGCAAGCCAGGCCCTACCTCGCACCTTTCCTACGCTCAGACTCACATCATCCTAACCCCAAACAAGATGGCCGCTGGCGACTGAGCATGCCGATCCTGCGTCTGGTAGTTCTAGAGATTCAGCATAGGTTGCAACAACTCGACGAGTTGGGCCTACTGCCCCCTTCCATCCGTCGTTTCCTCTTGGACGAAAACATTCCAGGCCCAAGTCTCACGCTGGTGCCTGAACTTACTCCAAGCGACTTCTTCAAGCTGCTCGAGAATCCCACGAAAGAGGCGATTGACTATTGGATATTGAAGGGAGAACGGAGTGTTTGGCCGGCAGTCACAGCGCTCAAGATCAGGTGTGCGATTGAGGTGGAGTTGGATAGGGGATACCAGCTTGTGAGGAGGAGGAAGCCTTTTGATCCTGTTCCACCAAGTGGGGGTTTGAAGAAGAGCGGGAGCAGAGGGGATGTACAGACTGCTTACGGGTTCGAGGATGATGGAAGAGCAAGGGAAAAGAGACAAAGAGCGAGGGCTGCGAGCTTTGGGGGAAACGGGTACTTTTGAGCAAGCACGAAGATGCTCGGTTTTGATGCGTTGTAGGTTGGCCAGAGAAGTTACCTGAAGGTATACGCAGTACTTTACATCAACATACTGTGAAACGAGATACCGTGTATGTCTTCAGGGCAGACTATCATCGTGGACTCAAGTTACTGGGTACAGCTCAAATGGAACAAGCTTCTATGCACTTCGCGGTAACTTTTCCTTGTTTCTTCATGGCCACTGGCTGTACCTGAAAGTGATTGAGTGGGCCCCATGGAAGCATCGCATTAGTCCTACCTATCTAGACATAGTCTCATGTCTTGTGTGAGGAATGTTTTCCGCTCTCAGCCTTACCCGCTCATGAGTGGACCTGTATCGCGTCATTAACGCTAAAAGAATTCGATGTTTCTCAACAGCCTAGAGATCGCGTTTGAAATACTGGTCGTCCGTTCACCCGTCAATTGTCGGCATAAGATACCTTTACTCTACAGCAAACCTCATTAGACTTTATTTTCTCTCACTTCCTTGTCTTCCTCACCAGTTCTGAACCTCCATCACAGCTTTCAAAATGTCAACGTGAGCCCCACTATACCTACCCCGCGTCAACGCGCAACACAGAAAACACGAACTGACAATCTGAACAGCAACATCACATGGCACCCATCGCTCTCGCGCGACGAGCGCAACACATACCGCAAGCAGAAGGGCTTCACCATCTGGTTCACTGGACTATCTGCATCTGGCAAGTCGACCATTGCGACAGCACTGGAGCAGCATCTCCTCCATCTTGGATTCGCGGCATACCGTCTTGATGGCGACAATGTCCGATTCGGACTGAACAAGGACCTTGGGTTCAGCGAGAAGGACCGAAACGAGAACATTCGAAGAATTGCTGAGGTACGACATTTTGCGCAGAATACGCCTGCGAGAGAGTTTGCCAGTTGACATATCCCTTTACAGGTCGCAAAGCTCTTCGCTGACTCGTCCACAATCGCCATCACATCCTTCATCTCTCCCTTCAAGGCCGACCGCAAGCAGGCGCGCGAACTGCACGCTGTAACCACCGGCTCAGACTCTCCCTTGGCTTTTGTCGAGGTCTTCGTTGACTTGCCGCTCGAAGTCGCTGAGGCGCGTGACCCCAAGGGTCTGTACAAGATGGCAAGGGAAGGCAAGATCCCGGAATTCACAGGTATCAGCTCGCCCTACGAGGCACCTGAGAACGCCGAGATTCACATCAGGAGTGACCAGAAGAGTGTTGAGGACAGCGTCAAGGAGATTGTCGAGTACTTGCAGAGCAAGGGCTTATTGGAGCTCCAGAAGTAGGTCTCTAGATGAAGGGACAACAAGGCCTAAAGCGACATAGGATCACGAAAGTTCCATTGCTGCTTGGATTGAATAAATAATCGAACAAGATTGGCAGACTCCTACGTCGATGCACGAAGGATGATCGAAGCTGACCAAAGACTTTTGCAAACTATTCGTCTCTTCACACAGACTAGGATGGTTACACATACTAACGCCCAGGTACCGTCCAGACTCCATACATAAGTTACAACCACGCAAAAATCTCCCTCCTAGGAGTTGATAGCCATAAGCAGCTGTTTCACTAGCCGCCCTACGCGCGCATAACGTAGTCGCATCAATCTCTACAGCCATACGTATACCGCGTACTCTGCTCGCTCAGATTACTGCATCAGTCCGTTCAAGCACGTTTGGGGTCATACTGGGATGTGTAGAGGAAGGGATTTCCAACAGTTCATACGGCACAGTCTTAGTCGACGTGAACGATCCTGATGACGCTCCATGCCGCAATGGCAAAGCCACCTGATCCCTGCCTCGAGGAACGAAACCCGAGTGGCTGGCTTTGGGACCAGATAGCGTGTTACACATGCTATTGAATTCGAGACTCTGTATAGCCGTGTCGACGGACATTGTGCGTTACGTGGGATATTCTCGAAATGAACACCATCGGACGAATTCAAGTCCGCTTAAGACAACAAATTCATGCCCAGCGACATTCAAATTGGCTTACCCTATGATTGCGCAATATGCTGAGCATCATCTCCGAGCACACCTCCGCCATCCCTTCTGCCCATCATCCGCCTGCGGAGCAGACCTAGAATCTAACGGCTATCGCAGTCATCAGCCCGCGAAAGTAGAATGATCTCAAATATTCAATCTTTCAGGACACGCCATAGCACCTAACCTCCGAGCACGGTGGGACATCGGCATCCTTCGCCCAATGAACAGCCCCAATCGAGCACGAAAAGTCAAGTAGTCCTACAAAATTTCATCTCCGCCATCAAGGTAAATTCATTTGGCAACCATTGGCACCGGTATATCAATCCGACATTTTGCGCGCGACTCCACATGTGGTGCTATATGTGAAATGGCGCTAAGATCTCAATGATGCCGCGTTGCGTCTCTCTTTAGAGATAATGATCCTCGATCCTAGTCCTAATATCTTGAACTCAATGGGATGGCGCGTTGCCACTCAGTTGTTTCCCCATATTTTCGCGGAGTAGGGGTATGCGATGGGAATGGTATGAGAAAACCTTATTGAAGCTACGCGAGGGGCTGGGTGGACCTGGCAAAGTCATGATGAAGGGGACGCTGTGTCATTGTGAACGGGGGATCCTTGTGATAGCACTTCTTATCGGCATCGGCATCGGTCCCGGTATTAGTCGGTGTTCCTAGGTTGACTTTCATGATGTTGACGTTGATGATTGAGGTTGCGACGGCTGGTGATGTGGGGCGGATGCTCGCTGTAGGATATTGGTAGAGGGCGTCGCGGCTCGGCAGCGGGACGATGGAGAGCGGTCAGCTGTACACGTGTTTGACGACCTGCATAATAGTAGACTATGGGACGACAGTGCCAAAAAGAAAAGTAAGGCTGTCAATGCAACCTGAAACGCTGGTACACCGTTGACAGCCATGACGGGTGGCGTGTGGCGTATTCGTGCGTTAAAAAAGCAACTCCAACCGGGCCGAGAGATGACGAGTTCAGGGAAAGCAAGTATACAAGCAGGGTATTGTTCCGGTTGGGGTAAGAGGGGAAGAAGGACCCTGGTCATTAGCGACTGGAAAGAGTATTGAAACGTTGGAAATGGGACGATGGTGTTGCTCGAAAAGGGAGAGCCGATGTGATTGTGATAACATGGGAGCAAAGCGCTTCTGCGACAAAAGGAAATACTCCGATTGTCTATCTACCTGCCGTTTGTGATCCGATACCTCTATCTGCTTGCTGGCACTACGTATCCTTCTTAGTGCTAGCTGTAGTGGATTACTTTCCGGTAACTGCGCCTCTCGGTCCGCAAATCACAACCTTCCTCCTAGATCCTGCTTGAGAACGTCTAGTATCTTCTTACTATCGACATCCTCGTCGGCTCTGTCGTGCATCTGTACATTGCCATCGCCTTCTTTCAGGCGTCGCAATATCTCAGGATCGAGCTCCTTCATCATCTCGTCAAACTCTTTCTGTTGCTCTCCCTCCAACAAGGCATATTCTGCTTCTAACATGAAGTCTTCTGGCAACTTCTCCATCTCAACAGGGAATACATGAATGGTTGGAAATTCAAGGATAGTGCGCCCGTGTAAGCTTTCACCTAGGGTGAGAGAAGGATCTAGAGGTATGAGGACGTGGCGATTTGTGCTCGTGCGTGGCTTTAGCAGAAAAACCCTATGTTGCTCATCGCCCATGGATTGGGTGCTTGGCTCACCATCACGATTGTCTCGAGTACGCGTGTCTGTCATGTCCGCTTGTCTTTTGGAGGCGCGTTCCTTTTGCTCTGGAGCAGGGGTTCCTCGTGCGGGGGAGATTACCTCTGCCTCCGCATTGTTGACCTGATCCGTTGAAGCGGGCGCAACGTCATCCTGCGGTTGTGGCGTAGATTTTGTTGGTGAACCTTCACGACGAGGGGCTTCGCTGTTCAGCTTTCTTTTCTTACTTGTACCGTCTGTGCCATGCTGTACGAAGGGCAGTGCGTCCTTTATCGATTGTGTAGAGGATGTCTCAGTAACCACACGTTTCTTGGTTTCATCAAACCATTCGACGGTCCATACTATGTTCCGTGAAGCCTTTCTGAACACGTAGATCAGCAGTGTCATGTGAGTACGCTGGTGCTAGGAGACTTACTTTGTTGCAGACATGTGTGACTTATTCTCCTTCTGTCTACTCATGCCTTTCGGCGCCTGGATGATCTTAACGCCAGCAGCATTTTCGAGTTTACTATACGAGACGCCCGCTCGCTGGCGGCTAGATAGACCATCTTGAGGAGTGCTCTCAGCTGTAGCGCCTGCAACCCTCTCGGCCTTTTCAAGATTACGTTCTATACCCGAAAGGAAATTGTAATCGTGATCAATACCCTTTGGGGTTACCAGATCAGACTTTTTAACAAACTTTGTTGGATCTCGCTTGCCTGAGCATTGCGCATTTTGTTGATGACGCTTGTAGCATGGCAGCGAGCATGTACGTGCGCTACACCCAGGACATTTGTACTTGGACTTGCTGCTATGGCTAGTTGGTTGTTAGCTTTCTGTTCCGTCTCGGCTGTGTTGTGTTGGCTAATTTCACAGGCAAATAGAGCAGAAATCAGGTCGATTGCCAGTGAATATGAACTTCTCCAACTTATTACCCGTAGTACGGGGGGAATCCAGCTAGACATACCATATACTGCATAGTTCATTCAGCAACATTGCATCTGTCATATCGCCCAAATAGTGGAGACGAATAACGTGATATCAGATCGCCAATACTTAGGCCCTCAGATCTGGCGCGCGATGGGGCACGACGGGAAGTCGCTTTCGCACCAAGGGCGGCGGAGAAGCCGTAGGCGTGAACAGGCGCAGGGAAGGTCTGGCGGTAGGTGCAGTTGATCGATGCGACGCGTGTTGTGGCGTGTGAGGCAATGATGGGTCGCGAGGGAAAGTTTCGTATATCGGCGTTGTGGCTGTAGTCAGATATCGTCCCGTCTGAAGATGCGACGACCGGCACCAGAATGCAAGTTTTACAGTAGAGTGACAATCATGCAGATCTACTCTGTAAGCAATTTCGCAACGTTGCTTAGATCGATGCTGCACGCAAGACTGCAGATGCTAGCAGCTATGAAAGTTTGTGTGGTTTGGACTAGCGCGACATTCAAAAACTCTGTCCGCTGCTCTTCGCTCGTCTAGTGCAGATCTATTGCGACGCTTTCCACTCTCTCGGTCACTGTACCCCTATGCGCAAACTTCCCATAAACATGGAAATTGGCGGCTTATCCGTGGCCTTTCAACGAACGATGGTCGGAGCAGGCGCACGCCGCCAGCACACTCGCCAGGCTTCGGGCGACTGGGAACCCTTTCCTTAAGTGCGTCGGAGTATTCTCCACGCCAAATTACATCGAGGTCCACCAGGCGCAGATCAAACCGACGTCGAGAGCGCCGATTTATGCGCTTGCGCTCGTCTACTGCTGTTGAGAGGCAATCGAGTCGTTCTCGTCGTGTCCGGCTGCAGCCAGTCCTGTCCTTGTTTGCGCGACCGAACCTGGGCGAAGCCGCCCGATTTGCCAGATAACATTACTGCCCGGTGTTTCAGCCTCACGGATTGCAGCTGCTCTCCGCAAAGCTCAGCAGACAACGAAGTCTGGTTCTAGAGGGTCCACTACACGCGAGACTACTGTACGTGGCCACCACACTTTACCGGACTGTGGAGCCGATCGAGTATCTGGTCGACATCTCGACGGTGCATCTTAGACGTAACTCTCCTGCAGAAAGGGCCTCCCGCCTCCCAGCTACTACGCAGGATCAAACGTGCCTGGCGGGCCTGAAAGCGATCTTCATGTACCGCGTGCTGGGCAGCGACCGATAGCCACCAGCCGTCAGGGGTATGGCTCGCCAATTTCTAAGCACTTCCATTCGCGGTCCGTCCGAGCTGCAAGTGCGGGAACTCTGCTCATGCATGCTGCTGCGAGGATGCACGCTGCAGACGTGCTCATCGTGCACAAGGCTTGCGAATGATTCGAATCCATCCCAATGCGGTATTCAGCATAAGACCATTCCATACGGCGCTATTGCCACCAGCGGGGGTTCTCTGCTGAGGCCGCTGCACGCTCTCGCTGACCGAGTCGTGGTACCAGAGCTTCGGGTGCTTGACGTGGCTGCAGGAATCCTCACAGCATGTGCAAAGAGAGAGATATCACAACAATGTACATTGTACCGCCCGTCTCTTTGATTGCGGCCCTTGCTGCCGTCGCGCCGCTCGAGGAAGTCGAGCGAGCCGTTATCCAGGAAAAGCGCCCCTGACAGCGCCGTGCACCGTGCCCGGAGACGGACCCTGCGAAGGAGCAGGGATATGCTTCTCATTT